GCATGGTTTCTAGAGAGCACAACAAACAAATCACCTAGTGGATTAGACTACATTCACCTGTGAGATTTAAGAAGTGGAGTTACAACTGAGAGTTATTTCCATTAGTGATTAATCTATTCTGTTTGAATAACTGATTAATCATTAGTCTGTAAATGATCTTAGTAGTATTAGCTTAGTTTGTGTGACCAACACTCAAACAGAGAAAAGCTGCTCCTCCTCACGTAGCTGTAACTAACAAATGGTGTTTCTATTGTCTAAATTGTCATAGGTTAATTTTCTGTTGATTAACTGATCAATTAACAATTCGTTGTTCCAGTACTTAGGTGGACTAGCTGGATGGAAAATCCAGCAAAAGGGGGAACAGAGTGAACAGCTTTGTATCCAAAGCTTGTGATATCAGGTTACTGTGCTTTGAACAATAGAGAGGGAACAGAAGGGAGATGACAGACACCCCTCCTCTTGCTCTCAAACACACACACACACACATACATACAATTAGTGCTTTATCACTGGGGAGACTGGAGGGATTCACTGGACCAGCCTGCGTGTCTACTGGGACATCATCTAATTAAGAGAAAGCCAACGCCTAGCCCCAGTTGTGTGTGTGTGTGTGTCTGTCTGTGTGTACACAGTGGCTTCAGAAAGTATTCAGACCCCTTCACTTATTGCCTATTCTATTGTGTTGGATGAGAAGCATCTGTGAGCTGCCATCTTCAGGTCTCTCCACAGATGTCCTATAAAGTTTATGTTTAGGATTTGTCAGTCACAGACTCCAGTGTCCCGTAGTGCCTAACCACTCTAGCATAAAGGCCTGACTGACTGATGGAGTGCTGATGAGATGGTTCAGGGCTCAAAATTAAGGCTTGTCTGCCCAATTGGACAACTTAAAAGTCATGAATAAACATCCTCACGTTAAGTGCCACTCAATCACAGCAGTACCCACCGGTGAGGTCAGTGAGGTGTATATAATAAAAGTTGTATATAAATATAAATAATTGCCAAAACATAACTCTATTTTGGTGCTGCGAAGATATTGTACAACGGCAAGATCACAAACTTTCTCATCTGATCACCACCACCATCAGTGCGTGTGGTTGTGTGTGTGTTGGTGGTTCCCATCATAGACTGTAAATAAAGATGGACGTAGCCTCTGTGACGTCACCCACATGTTTCTGAAGAGCAGTTTTGAGGCTCAGCATGGGCTGCTCCACCATCACCATCTTGGCAGTGTCTGACTCCGCCCCCAACACTCGGCTAATCCAAATATGGACAGAGAGGAAGGGCGTGTGTGGAGCAGAGACTTCAGTGCATGCCAGTTTATGGCAAGCATAAGCTCACCCACCTGTCACTCAAAGAGACCAAGACCTCAATTATACATAACTTTAAGCCATAATAAAATGTAAACAGGTGAGTTATATAAACAGTTGTGATGAAGGAGGGAATTGGCTCTAAAGACCAAAACTGTTTTTTGTACCTGTTTATTTGTTTATACAGCTTATTAAGTTTATTTCTGCTGTAAAGTTGGACATTTGGACAAGCTGTATATATGTACACTACTTCTGTGGTGGGTACTAAGTCAAACTGCACGGTCCTCTTATCTTATCATATACAGTGATAATAACTTTTCATATTCAAAATCATTTGATCAACTTTCATACAAGTGGTTTTATAGGGTAACCTTCTGAAATACTTTAAGCGGGCGGGCATTGAGTAACATTGAGTTTAGTAACATTTATGTCACTTTGACAGAGGGGATGACATTACGCTGATATTTGACATTTAGCTACTCATTTACTTCATATTCACATAACTTGTACTACATGAGCAGCTCTGCAAACCTTTTAACATGGGAGTCTATGAGGACTGACTCACTGTGGAGCCAGAAATTAAAGGACGTGCAGTTTTTAGCGCTTCATGGAGGTTAATGCTTGGTTCCCACCCAATCAGAATGCCTTGATTGACCAATCAGATTTCGATCCAAGTATTCCGCAGAGTTCAAACATTTTACTTCAGAAGAACAGCGCCGGTGTTATTGCTTCAGGCACCTCCCAGCCCAGCAAAGTACCAGGGAAAGCACCAAGAAGAAGAAACATTACAACTGCACTGAATGAGTCAAAGAGAGGACGAATATTTGTAAACAGCAACTGTGTTTACACACAAAGACAGAAATATGCATATGAATCATTTAGGTCAGATTAATGAAGATGCAGGTACGCCTGATTCTGTTTTATAAATGACTGATCTTTGCCTGGTTACAGTTTGGCTTGACAGCCAAAGGAAGAGTCCTGGTGGTTACAAACTTCTTCCATTTCACAAGGGTTTTAATAAACTCAAAAATTTCTCATTTTGGTTTATTGTGTGTAGACTGATGGGCAAAAAGGGCAATTTTATCTATTTAAAGTTAAATCTACAACACAGTAAAGTGAAGGCGTCTGAATACTTTCTGAAGCCACTGCACTGTGTTTTGTTTATGCAGCTAAACCTGCACCAGCTCACACTCTAAGGCTCATACCTCATTGACTTAAGGTTATGCTATGAGGTGTGTGTGTGCACGTGGGGCTGAGTGTGTTTTGCTGAGGCCAGGGTATTTGACTGTGGTTAGAGATTAACCACGGACAGATTAACCCCATACTACCTAGAATGACCCACTTCTCACACACACACACACACACAACAGCAGATGTGATCTTGTGTTATTGTGTTGGTTTTCCATTTTCCTCTGAAATGAGTGGCTATTTATCTGATTTACAATGATCAGGTCTCGATGTAATAAAAGCAGAACATCATGTACTGTATATAAAATATGTATGTACTTCGCCCTAAATGTGCACTGGGCAGTTTTTGAAATAATAACCTTGTTTATCACCAACTAAACCCAATAAAAAGATTAAGGGATATCAGATATGCTGAGCATCACTTAAAAACTAAATACATCTGAAACCATTAAACTGTAATTTGTAGCTCACTATGTTGAACACTAACTTCCAAACAATGTACAAACAATCAAAGATTATTCCTAGAGATAAAAAATATTAAAACACCAACAACTACATGAACCACTACACTCCCACCACTGTGTGAGGTTAGAGCTTAAGAGTCAGCAGGACACGGCTGCAGCTCAACCCAATCAACTGCATCTGAGCTCCTTATCTCTGGTTTATACAAAAAACTCCCTGACATACACACACACACACACACACACAAATTATTTATGCCTCTGATCATCAGCTGTGATTAGCTTTGAGAGGATGGTCACATTGTTTAGTGATACCTCAACCTAAAAACTGAACCGGGCTCTGTTTTGTGGTACCCCATATGATGATAATCCTCTTGTCCCGCTGTAAAGGGCATCAGCTTTCACAATTTTCTAAGGCTCTGCAAAATCCTTTGCATTTCTGAGATATGTTTTTTACATATTCTTCCCTTTGAACGCATCACTTCCTGTTTCCTATAAGTGTAAGGGTGCTTCTTTATGAGTGCTGTGTTTACAATGGATTCTGGTAGTGACACGTCTGATACACAATTTGGCATCACATTTTACAGCTACAGCTGATATTTCTCAAGTGTCAAGTATCAACAAACTGTCAGCTTTTAGTTTCCTTTTTATTGTTACATGCTTCTACACAAAAACTTTGTGAATTACAACTCACTGCACTTAAAAAGCTCTGATGAAGCCAGACAGAGAAGAGTGAGTGAATGTCTATTGTGACAAGGGTCAAGCTGCAATGACAAACTTTAAGAGCCACTGAATGCTGCTTATCTTGTTACATCTTCCTGAGCAAACTCAATGATCACTGGTTCAACAAAGCTGCTATTTACCATTTCCTGATCATCTAAACCCAAAGTTGATCCATTCAACAGAGGGCAGAATTTCTAGTTAGATTTTCCTTTATGACAAACATTTTGGAAACATTTACTGTGCTCTATACAAAACCCAAAACCGACTCAAACATTAGAGAATACATTCAAACATCCCCAAAAAAAATCTAAGAGTTTATGGACGACCAGGGTTGTGACAGGAAATGTAATAAAGCATTTCCTTCATTTCATATTTTAATATGCAATCAAAGAGCTTGTTACATCCCATGGCCAATTGTGATTGTTTAGCCTGGCTTTACCACTGAAGGTCCAGAGTGTCACAGAAAGGTTAGATTTAGCAATTTTTTATTCATGAATTAATAAATGTATTGTGTTTTTTGCTGTTTCAAAAAATCAATTTTGTTGATGGATTCATTGTAAATTTATAAAATCTTTTTACAATTCCTATATTAATGCCTATTAAAATATGAGATTAAGTAAATGCTGTAGTACTTAAGACATCAAAATGTCATATCAAAGTAGCAGAACGCCTCACAATGAGCATGACATTTGCATGAGATGTGTTACTTCCTGCTACTATTGATCACTGCAGATCATCAAGCAAGTACACTAAAGAATGATTGGTCAGCAAGTTTAATGATGATCCATACTGATTTACCATCATCAATAATACAGACACTGACACACACACGCTTGCTGTGGTTCAGGAATGTACTGAAAATGTTGCTGTGTGTGATTGCCGGAAGGGAGCTTGTTGTTGTCACATCAAGCTGAAACAGACACGTTACAAAACGCACACATGACAATGATGATGGATAAAAGACAAACAGAACACACATACATTTACCCCTTAGGCAGATCAGCTGAAGATATAATAAACAGAAACTGAAAGACACACAGAGACTTAAACCAAGAAGAGGTCAATAATAAAGGCAAACATGCTACACAGTAGGTCTGATATACAACATGTGGAATATGAACAACTGATTGCAGAAAAAAACTGATTGTAGTTGCTTCAGTGCTGCTGGGATCAATGACGTCTATTAACTTGTTTTTAACATTATTTTTAATATTGAGCTACTGGACACTTTAATTTCATCTAGGGGACGAATGAAGTATCTATCCATCTATCCATCCATAACCCTGGACACTGGTGTGTGTGTGTGTGTGTGTGTGTATACCTGGTAGTACGTCCTGATGTGTCTGGTGAGAACAGTCAGGTTGTAAAGGCGAAGCGACATATCATTGTTGACATTCTTGTTCAGCCTCTGATTGGTCGGGCTCGGGTCACTATGGAGACACAGACACACACCACAGGAGCATTTAGGTTGACGCTATTAGAGGCAGTTGAGACAAAGATCATTGCACTCACACATACTCACACGTCCCAGGTCCAGGGAAACTATTGTGCTGGAGAAGGATTTATGCTTTACGCACGCGAGGCTGTGCCAGACTGATATGCATATGAACAGGGGGTGTGTTATGTGGTCTGGCTGGACCTATTATGACTGTCATGACGTTAGATTGAGGATGGAGCTCAATTCACCTCCAATCTAAATATAAAGCGGCTAGAACAGATTTGGTGTGGCCTGGCCTCCACATGCCTGAGGCTAAACAAGGATCAAACTTACAACTACTTCTTGCAAATAACTTTAATAGACTTTGTGTTCTTTGGCATCCCTACATTTATATCAATTTAACAAGTGTATGGAATGAAATTCACTTTGGAGTTTTGCCCTAATCTCTCTCTCTCCTATCTCTCCTATCCAGAAAACTATCCTGGGTGGGTGGGTAGGTGTGTGTGTGTGTGTGTGTGTGTGTGTGTGTGTGTGTGTGTGTGTGAGACGTAGGTGAGGCACCTGGAGAGAGTGAAAGAAGTGAAGCACCGAAGCGAGTTTATACGTGTTCAAGAACAGTAATTGAGGATGGAGGCGGACAAATTGGTTCAGAAAAGAAACAGCACTGGGTTAAACGTCTTTCTCAGGGATTCTTATTAAATGCACTTTTTGTTGATTGAGCTAAAATTTAACTTGGTTGTGATTTCCCCCTTTTTTGCAAATTTAAAATAGAGTAAAGAAGAATGTTTTAACGCCAACAAACGCTGCAGGGAGAAGAATCATCACACCACGCATCAACCTCTGAGGCTGGAAAATGAAGCCAACACTGTTCATTTTTGGATTAACTGGGAGTTAGGGGCAGAGTCAGGCACTGCCAAGATGGCAACAGTGGGGCAGCTCACTCTGAGCTTCAAAACCACTATTCAGAAACCTGTGGGGATGTCAAGGAGGCTACGTCTTTATTTATAGTCTATGCATCATACTGGTGTGATTTTATGCATCAAAGGGTTAAACCACGTATTTATGAAGTGCTGCAGAGGAGATTTCAAAATATTGAGCTATGTATTATGTATCGCAATATAGCCAAAAATATTACCTTATTATTTATATGTCCGCTGACAGTTTCACTGCTTTAATTTCTTTTTCTTTAACCAAACGTTCATCTGATTCTGTTAAACTCCACTTGACATTTCAGCTCTTTCACTGTTTACGCTTCAATTGACACTTAAGATGGTTTCAAGTTTCAGGTTACGTCTTTGAAGAAACATTTCAACTGCTGAATACAGGTCAGCTGAATCATCAACTTTTACATTCTTTCAGTTGATACACTAATTTGCCACCAATTTCGTTCTGGACTCATCAACTAACACTTCCAGCTCAATTTATCTCTGACACTTCTTTTTCTGTTTCACCAACAGTCCAGACTAAAACAGCATTTTTCACCCCTCAAAATGGAGTCATGAGGAGTCTTTTCCACAGCAGCCTCCAGAATGTGTAAATCTTAAAACTCCAGCTTGGTGTTTCAGCATTTATGAGGTAAAAGGAGCTTTTCCAAGCGAGTCCAGTGAAGATCTGAGGTTGTATGCCTGTAAATCAAGACGGCCTGTGGTCGCATCTCATTTTCTCTGTGGTTGCTCATTTTAAATGACAGTTTTCCTCAGGTCGGGGTTGGTGAAGTGAGCCCTGTCTGGAACTGGCACATGACACATCTTATGCATCCCCAAATGACAGTACAGAGTCCAGAGAGACTAACTGGGCCAGTAAAAACTTTTTGTTGCACCTATAAGCGTGCATAGTACGCTGGCAGTCTCAGTGAATATCAAAAAAATATATCTGACTTAATGTTAGCTTGTTAAATCTACCTTCCTGTCTTATCTTTCTTTTTCTCTTCTTTCTCCCTGTCATCTGTCAGATGTCCCCACGTCTCCAGTTATAGATTAAAAGTCCTCTGTAGAGTTGTGTAATTGCAACTTCATGTTATTATATATATATGTGTATGTATATGTATATATGTACATATGTATAGGGTAGAAAGACTGGGTTTATAGACTGACTGATTTAACAGCTGACTGCTTCTCTGACTGACTGATTTACCAACTGTCTCTGAGTGCCTGTCCTCATGGCCCTTCAATCCTGACCTCCTCCTCTGTAACCCACTTTCCTAAAAACCCCTATAAAATCCTACTAACCCCCCCCCCCAAACACCCCACTCCCTCCCCCATCAGCCTACATTCGTCTGTGGGGAACAATAGCGTGATTATCACTGTTTCTGAAGACAATAACTAACATATGAACATGTGGTCTGATTGTGGACACAGGGCTGTCTGGGTGAGACAAGATTGAGATTCCACACAAGTAGATATGTTGATAGATATATATAGATATATATATAATATCTATATGATATTATTGATATATATATCATACATTTATATGATATTATTGATATATGAGATATTATATATATATAAGATATTATTGTGGACAGTATTATAGTCCGGATTTTCCACTCCAGCTGATACTGAAGGATAAGTCTGGTGATAAGTCTGGTGGTTGCACTGGGGGACATGTTCCTTCATTACCATGAACACACACTGTAGTCTACTTTTATTCAAAGCAACATATACCATCCTGCTGCCAGAAATACTCCCTATAGGACCAAATGTCCACAACAGATGCACATCTCCTCCTCTTTAGGTAACGTTTGTATTCCCTGTGTATGTCCGTTAGTTTGCGTTACATGACTTTGATATTTGTGACCGATGTTCTTGCCCAGTGGCAGCTTTGTGATTTCTTCTAGAGCCACACAGATCAGAAACTAGTCCGTAAATGTGCTGAAACTCAATCTGTTCTACCTGTTACAAACCTGATTGTGTGATTCCTGACACTGAGTACAAACTGACTTCAGCTCGGCTCTGAAGGGACTGCAAATGATAAAACTCTCGTATACACCATTTCTCTTTGCAACCTTGAGCAGCACATCTGGCTGTGACGTTTACAACCTGATACCAGCAAGTCAGGATGTGGTTACACGAACACACTCACACAGACACACACAGGAAACACTGGATTAACTCACTCACTGCTTATATACCCACTTCAGACACACAAATACAAATGCACACCAAAAGACACTTCTTACTGACTCATGCAAACTCTCACTCTGTATGCTGAGACCTACATGTGTGTCATGATCTTGTGCAAGAAGACACCGTCCACCAGTTCCATGAACATGCTGACCCGCTCCTCTGAGCCCACACTGTCACATGAACCCAACGGGCCCAGCATCCGCACCTAGAGACAGACAGGTTACAGACAAAGACATGAAACAGTCAGGTACATTTAACACTATAAAGATGTACTCGCTTTAAAATGTTATATATGATACAGTGACATTTTTTTTTCTCTTTATTTATTTATTCAGGGGTACTTCGTTTCTTTTTGAGAAAATACCCTGCTCAAACTCACACACTATTATACCTCAAAGGTGCCTAGTACAACCACAGTGTGGTCTGCAAGCACTGCTCTTTCCCTTTCCCCTCCCAGATCTAACCTAAAATCTGGTCCGGATTAAAATCTGGTCCAGAGACTGTACCGGCAATGTTTTGGTCACAAAATATATTTCATTAACGCATGGATGTGAACATTAAGAAAAACTGAGAACAAGAAAAAGAGAGAGACCAGTCGGGTGAAAGTTGCCCTGAGGCACTTTTCTAACGTCTGTCCATGTTAATCGTGTTTGTCTGCCCAACAAAGATGGGAACAACTGTTGGTTGACTGGTCAGGTCAACAGGATGTGAGGCCATGGGGAAACAGGAAGTACCACAGGGTTAATAACCTGTTGAGAGCTCTGCTGGTGGTCATAGTCTGGGCTGGGCTGAGAGCCCATATTGGGCAGGAGGAAGATTACTTGTGTAGTAGAGTCTAATAGAAGACACTAGTATCTATCACTAGTATACTTGAGAGTTAATATAGCTTACCTTACAGTTTTTCTTACATTGTTTCTTTTTACTTTCTTTTTACTGTTGTGGAGCATCTCTAACTACAGAAACAACTGTTTTAAATCAAATGTTGTATTACTGAACCTGCCTGCAAATGAATATATGCACAGCAATAAGGCAGATGATACATGCTGGTCTGATGTTTGCAGTGGGTTATAGGATGCTGCTGTTTTACTCTGGATTTGGTTTCAGTTAGTTAAATCAGTCTCTGCTTAAAGCTTTTTGAGTTTAGTGAAATCAATTAAAGTGCTGTTTGCTATGATGAAGATAATGACTGTTTTTTTTTAAACACATTTACACCTTGAACATCAGCAACACATCTAAAATCACAAATCTGTCAGAATATTTGGGGGGACTGTAGGGATGTCATGAGAACTGATAGTTCGGTAACAAGTCGGAGCCATAATTCTTCTGTAGGTACCATGGATGTGGTAGGTACAGGAGATATGATTCTTCCGGGACTGATGAGGGCAGTATAATGACCCTACAACGGTCTTAGTGGGACATCAAGAGAGGAAGAAGGCAGGCACAGTAAACAATAACAATATCTATAGCACTTGAGCCTTCTTTATGTCTCATTAATCAGTTGTACACACAGTAGCTGTCCAACTTAAACAGTGGTGGTTTAGAAGGTAATGAGGTAAATGGTGGTCACATCAGATACTGACTCGTTTTCTGATCCATGACTCTCCCCCTAAATCTGCACATCTGCAACCTAAGTCATGTGAAATCCACCGTTCCCTATCTAATAAATGTCTCTTTTCAATACAAAAATGCACATTTTAAAGTGGCTTTTTATTGTGACCAGCCCAGGGAAAAGTTGTTCAATAATCATGCTGTGAAATCAGCATCTTGGTATGCCGCACCTGTCAGGTGAATGGATGATCTTGGCATCTTGGATCTTGGCTCACTAACACGGAGAGAAAGAAGCCTTTTGTGGGCTTAGTAAAAGTCTTTAACATCTTTAATTCCACACTATTGGTCTGTTACCCTGTTAGTCAATTTAGTGTCCTGTTTCTTACTGGAATTTCATTCATTCATTGTACTGGGGGGGGGGTCTTGCATGCATCAGCATTTTAATAGCAAAAGGCAAAAGAAGAGGAAAAGAAGTGAGGTACACTAGCAATGAGGCAAAGCAGAAAAAACTTCTGTTTGACAGGTAGGATGAGAAGTACACTTGGAAAGCCCCTGAGACACCAACCAAAAATCTCTCAATGGACCACTTAATCTGAGGCTTTTACACTACAAATCTTTCCCCTTTCACTTTAGTGTAGTTAATGAATAAAAACTATTAACTACAACAAAACTTCAATAGAAATGTAGAATATGGATGACATGTTATATACATGTTATATTATATATATATAATATGTTTGTTGCCAGCTACTAGTTTGTCAGTTGGCTGAGAGAAAGTAAAACACAGGCAGAGGTCACCATCACAACCGTGTGTGCGCGTGTTGCTCTCACTCACCCACACCACCAGCGGCGACTCCATGAAAGTGGCTAGTAACTCCGACAGAGTCACATCCATGGTTGCTCCCACAGCTTCCGACTCCGCTTATTAATCACGAACTAATCATTAATCCACCACTAAATCTGTCGATATCCGCGGTATGTCTCAACACGGGGCAGAACAAAGCCCCCGCGAGGCATCGACCCCCCTCCTCCTCCTCCCTTGCACGAGCTTTCTCTCTGTCTCTCACACACCACTATTGTCTCGCGCTGTCCGGTTTCCTTTAACACAAGGTTTAAAATTAAAAATAAAAATCGTTAAATGTGGATAAAGACAGTCTGAAGTACTTTCACAGACACTCCTGTGACTCACGGAGTCAACTCCGTTAGTTTATCGGGTAGTTATCCAGTTTATTTTCCGGCCAAAGGTAAACCACTTGATCCAAACTTCGCAGGACAGTTACTGGCGTTGCCAAGGATACACAACTCGAACCGAAAAGCGGCAAAACAAGCGTAAAATAAGAAAACAAAAATAAACAAAGTAGAAAAGAGTTAAATGCACGATATAAGAGGAATGGAGAGCGTTAAAAATTATAGTTTCCGTTGATTGCTACATCTCTACCACGTCTCTCTACCTCTTTCCCCTCCTTCTGCTCATCAACCGGACTCCGAGACCAGAGGCGGTGAGGCAGGAGAGGATTGACTGACAGGAGTATCGACCAATCCGCTGCAGCAAGAGGCGTGGGTCCCGCCCCCTACGATACATTACAGTGCCATCATTTGGTAGACGTTTCTATAAAACTGACGTCACAGCAACACAGACCGAACCAGCCAAAGAGTTTAGACGGAACAAGATAAAGAGCGTCCCATAGCGGGATTTCAAAATTTGATTTTTTTTGTGACTTGTAGGCATAATGTTGTGAGCTATGGGTAATTAAGTAATGCAATAATAAATGCTCATATAAAGTTTACTTTTTTACTTTTTATAGGCTTTTAAGAATACAGAGTTTCTTCAAGCACTATATGCGATAAACGTAGCAAACCATGGCGGTATTATGATAATTATTGCCAATATATTGAATGAGTATGTATGGATGAACATTATCTCGATATGATATGATACTGCCATATTAATTACTGTTCCATATCTATAGTTTGTGCCCATGTCAGCTGGGAAAATAAACTAAATAAAATACCTGGGTCCTCTGCCCATGTTGGGCCTGGCCCATATACTTCCAAATCTGGGCAGATTCCAGCTGTTATCAGCCAGGCTGACAGCCTGAAGATTTTCTGTGTGTGCACCAGAATTGGTCCAGATGTGTACTCTGACAATCACGCTGTATATGGGCCAGATTCAGGCCTTGAAACCAGGTGTATACTGGACCAGAAGAAAACAAGCATGGATTTATTTTGCTATCTGAGTAGTAAATTTACTAGTAAAGCAGCTATATTACCATATTGTATATAGGTAGACTACCAATCAAGCAAAGCTTTATTTAAAACACATTTCATTTCAGGTGGAAGCACAACTTGCTGCACAGAGTGTGAGCTGCCATGGAAGCTGCAACCAAAAGAACTATGTCAATAGTGTAAAGATAAAACATTAGACAGTAGACACAAACACACTAAGTTTATCTGACCAGATAGGTTAGTAACTAAGCGGCGAACATCACCCAAACACTTAAAGCACAGGTTTAATTAATAAAATGAATAGCTGTTGTGCAGGGCTAAGCACTGTGTCTCGTGACCATTTTCACAACAGACATTTTGCTTGTGTAACTAATAACTTGATGGTTCATTTCCATTTAAATGTCCCAGTAAGACATGTGTGAGCCAGCATGCAGACAGCAAGGTGTATGTTTGTTACACCTGTGCTTTTCTTGTCATGAAATGTCAAAGTTACTACGATGAAAAATGTCTACCAATATCATTGAAGGACACTTATTTTTCTCTGTTCAAACAGGTTGAAAGAGAAATCAAAGAAGCACCTCAAAAGGACACATAGACCAAATGTAAATTTAGCAGTAATGTAATGAAATAAATGAATTTGCACAGAAACACCCAGTTAAAAGTCAACACTTTAAAAGTAAAACATTAAGTGAACATGTTTCTCTTGCCCAGTCAAAGTCTACTGATCTCTACATAGGAATTTATTGGGACAGTAAGTGTGAGGTGTTTTGATGCTGAACACAGTGCAGTACATGTGGAGGAGAGGAGGGTGGAGAGTAAATTCAGTCTGAGTAAATTCTGTGGAAATCCTGAGGTTGCTTTTCGTTTGGCATGACCAGACAGGAGACGGCAGGTTTACCAGCTGCGTGTCCAGAACCATGTCCCGGAAACAAACGTTGCAAAACACCCATGCATGACGATCAGCTTAGGGAAACAGTTGACACAATGCTATTGGCAAACAGAGCTATTCTCTGAATATTCTCACACATGGCATCAACAATCTGGAGAACGGTGCCACCTCTTGGTGTCCTCATATTACTACATCTTCTGGAGAGACCTGTTTCACACTGGAGGGGCATGAAAGGGTGTGGTGGCCTACTCAGGGTCTTATTATCCCAAACTAATTGGTTATAATTATTATATCATTATATATTAAACCCAAAGTCAGAAAAACCACAAGGTATATTTTTATTACTCTGGTCCATGTCCTTGGAGCAGCCAATTATGTCTACTTTTATTTCTGGTTTTACTCACTTTAATAGATCTCCTGCGTTTTAGTATTTTATTATTTCATCTTTTTCACTCTTCAATCGTTATCTTTGTTTTCCAGTTTTCTGTGTTTCCTCAGTTCTTATTTTTATTGTTTGTACTGATTACTTTGTAATTTATTGTTTTGTGTGTAAATGGGTGTGTGTGTGTGTGTGTGAGTGAGTGAGTGAGTAAGTGAGTGAGTATGTGTGTGTGTGTGGGGGGTTGTTATTGCTTTTATTCTGTAAAGCACTTTGTGTCACATTGTTTGTATGAAAAGTGCAACACAAATAAAGTCTGATTGATTGATTGATTGATTGATTGATTGATTGATGTATCAGTTATCCTTTTTAATTACAGTATTGCTCACTGTAATTGGACAGTTTGGGTAACACTTTACTATGAAGTAGGTGTGAGCAGATATAAGTGCTTATTAAGTTACCACTGCTACTGGCAGTCATAGGTGGAGGCTGGTGTATTAATAGAAAATGAATGACAATATAGTAAAATTACATTTTAATAATATGATGTATGTCTTCGTAGAACACGTCTCATATGTTTTCATCATAATATGAATGTTTCAACCAAATCCCCCTTCAATTATTCAAATAACTTCATCACCTCACACTGGAGTGCCCCTTTCAAATTAATAACAATACAGCTTCAATACTTTAGTTTATTCTTGCCATATTCTTACTGACAAAATATTTCAACACAAAAGGTCTACTTACTACCTTTTTGAGCTTTCAACCACATCTCAGGGTTTTCTTCAGTAAACAAAAATGTGACCTAAGAATGGAATTTTGTTCATGTGATGATACTCAGCCAGTTCTTTTCACTGATGAAGACCCTGAAATGCAGTTGAAAGCTCCAAAAAAAGTTGATTTATTTGAGTTATTTTAAGATGTTAGTCGTTTCCTTCTTTAGGCTGTCTTCTTGGCTTTGGAAAAAAAGTGTATTTGAAGGAACATTAAACAAAAACACAAGGTCAGTTATTTTATATCAATCATCTATTATTTATTCATTGTGAATATTCATACAAAAAGCAGATTTTCTCAGGAAGATGTGATGTCTGATACACAGGAACTGGTATCAATTAACTTTACATTCAATACAGTTCATTTCCCTGCCCCCCTCTTCCTCCTGGACCAATGGCAGGGAGGCAAGGGGGTGAAACCTGCAATTCTATTGGTGCATTCTGGACTTCTATTTTCAGCATTACATATATATAAAAGCTCTACACAATGATAACAGTGATATTGTGTCAGGTCTACTTCAGGTCATAATAATACTTCACTGTCTTCAAAGACAGCCGCACGCGCACACACACACACACAAATACACACCCATCCACACACATATAAACACACACACACATACACACACACACACACACACACACACACACACATACACACTAAATATATAATAAATTCAGCACTGTGTGCCGATCAGGAACACAACTAAAAACTACAACTTTCCTTCACCCACTCGCCCCTCAGGGCTCAGGCTCAGAGGTCTACTTAAATGTGATCAGACAGGACAGGAAGAGTCAGCTGTCACGGTCATCTGTGATTGGTCAGTCAGAAAAAACAGGCAGAAAATAAAACAGTCAGCCGAGATCAAGTGCTGTGTCCTTTATTTTAGTGTTTATTGCCATAGTGTGTACTTTAACAGGAGAGCCAGATATAAACCAGCCGTTCAACAAGTCAGTCAGTCAGTCAGTCAGTCAGTCAGTCAGGGTTCAGAGGGTTCAAGACCTCCAGTACAGGGGAAAGTCAGAAGCTAATGCACTGTTGTGGTGTGTACAATTAGGACGTGTGAGTGTTCTTCATAGCAATACAGGCGGTGGCTCAGTGTGAATTTTAATTTGTACTGAATGTGTGTGTAAGTGTGTGTGTAAGAGTGTGTGTGTGTGTGTGTGTGTGTGTGTGTGTGTGTGTTCTTCACATTTACTCCTTACCAGGGGCATCTGGGTCCAAGGCCAAGTTATTTAACAAAAACACTAAGAAGCTCTTGAATTCAAAATCAAATGTTTACATTGATCCTCTGCACTGTCCAAGTTAAAATGATTTGGGCGTCATAATTTAAATGATCACAGGATAAAGTCAAAGGATGCATCATAAAAGAGGCCCAGCATCTCTGAGAAAAAACAACTCTTAAAGGAAAAAAAATAACAACAACAAAAGTCTCAGTACTCTAAGAAAGAACAACTCTTAAAAAGGAAAAACAACAACCAAAAGAAAAAAAAAATCTCTGTATATTAGGTACTGTGATGATGCCAGAAATCTGTGTCTTAAAAATGTCTGATGAATAAAAACATCATGGATCAGTTCAGCACCATCCAAGATCAGTTTGTTGAGGATTTCCTCCCTTTCAGGACGGTCAATACACAAACGTTTACATATCATGTATTTATAATTACCAGTGCCACCAGGTCAATACATTCTAGATGATGCGGATTGTGTGCAGAGTATCTATGCTCTACAAAACAAGTATTAGGGCCAATGTTAGGAGAAAATGTCTTAATGTTATGAGAATGAAGTGAAGAAAAAAACTCATAATATTTCAACAAAGCTGTTATTTTAAATAGAAATAAAGTCATGGTTTTATGTCTTAAAGTCTTAATATAATAAAATTCTGTAAATAAAGTCATATAGAAAATGTTATTTTTCAAGATAAAATGTTATGTTAGGATTAAAGACCCAGAATTAAGTTGTAGTTTTATGAGAGACTGTCGCAATTTTACAAGAAAAAGTAATAAAATTACAAGAATTACGTCATTTTACGAGTAGAGTTAGAATATTTTGAGACAAAGTCAAAATATACAAAAAAGTTGTTATTTTAAGAATAAAATAAATGCAATGTGTCATGATGTGACAGTTGAATCAAGTTTACAGAAATTATGGTTGTCATTTTATGAGTAAAGAGAAGTGAGAGAGTTGTAATATTTTAAAGTAAAATTGTAATGTTGTGAGAAAACGTCATGATATCATGAGACACAGTTCTAATTTTACTAGAAAAAAGTTGGAATATTTTGAGGACAAAGTTTTAAAAACATGATTGTATTTTCAAGAACAATATGTCCCATGTTATGATTAAAGTCTTAGAATAGAGTCCTAGATTTGCAGGAACATTCCTAATTTTATGAGCTAATGTGAATTTATTAAAAAAAAAAAAGTAATATTTTAAAAATGAAGTTGGAAAAGTATGAGACATTTATTTTAATGCAGCGTCTTATTTAACAGTTGAGGGAGGTTTGTTTGCTTTTACATTTAAAATGAGGGAATGTGGATGACTAATACCCTTTATTTTCTTTATATAACCTTTATATCACAGGACATTGAAATGAAATGAACACAGTGTTGACTCAGCCAGAATCAACTATGAAGTGGTGAACTGTGCATTGAGTAAAAGTTAATGCTCTGCTGATGTGTTGCTAACTAAGCTCATTCTGACAGACCATAATACCATTACTGGTCATGGAAAAGTGACGCTGCAGTCCAAGAAAGTCTGGTGTGAGGAGTCAGCAAATGCTAAAACATGCACATGTGACTAATCTACCCAATACAATCACACGAGGTTCTCAAAATAATCTTTTGTTTTTGTAATATGACATTTTTCTAGTGAAATTATAATTTTATTCTCAAAATATTATCATTTTATCCTTTTAAAATGCCAAAAATCCTAATTTTTTTTCTACTAAAATACTCTTTTATTCTTGTAATATTTAGACTTGTTTCCTTGTAAAACTACAACTTGATCTTGTAATATTATGGTCAATATACTGCGATACTATTATGATTATCATCCTGCAATATTGTGACTTATTACATTTCAACTTGGTTCTTATAATATTACAACTTCATTCTTAAAATCATTAGCTTTTTCCTAACATCAACCCTAATATTCTGTTATAACCTCACCACAGCACACTGTGTAAAAACCACACCAGTGTTTCAGGGTCCAGTTTGTTACATCTGTAGAAATGGGCTCCATGGGCTGTGTGTGCCTACTCTGTGAGTAATGTGTAAGTGTGTGTGTGAGAGAGAGAGAGAGAGAGAGAGAGAGAGAGAGAGAGAGAGTGTGTTCAGCGCAGCCACGAGCAGGGCACCCACTGAGGTTCAGTGTCCAGTTTGTTGATGAGTCGTAGCAGCTCGTTGTAGGCTTTGTCCTGGTCTGTGTTGACGATGACGGCGTCAAACAGGTGACCGCAGCTCTGCTCCATCTCCCGGGCTTTCTCTATGATGTCCCGCAGCTCCTCAGGCTGTACACACACACACACACACACACACACACACACACACACATATTACTGAGGCAAACATTGCAGAGATGTAAACAGTAAACACCAGTGATATTTATCTTTGACTGAGTGTAAACAGACAGTGGAGACAGTTGGACAGGAACCTTGGGGTTCTTGTTCTCTTTAGCCAATAGGGCTCGAAGTCTTTCCTGGGAGGGCGGAGCTATGAAGATGATGTAAGGCTTCAAGTCTGAACTCCTCAGCACCTTTAGAGCCTGCACACACACACACACACAAGGATTTAATCAACAACTTCTGAATGTGTGTTCATAATTGAAACTCACTTTGCCACCCAGCTATGTCTTTGTGTGTGTGTGTGTGTGTGTACCAACCTGTGTGTGGAGACAGAGCACACAGATTTTTCCAGTGTTGATGACCTGTCTCACCGAGTCTGTACTGGTCCCATACAGGTTCTTTTCAAACTCACCAGATTCGATCAGCTTTCCTGAGAAAAGTAACAAAGAGGTTGAGTGAAAAACACTTTTATCCATTTGAAACAGTGAAGTATTTTCAGTTCATAACAAGCTGTGTTGGGACTAATCACACTGTCAGAGGACGTCAGTAGACACATTCACACCGCTAAAAGAATGTGGACACGTGGCACAGACCTCCTCTGAATGTGGTCTGAGCGATCGGCTCTCTGGGTTCTCATTGCGTCTTGGCTGCGTTCACACCTGAACTTAGAGCTGACCACCTGTGATCAGATCGCCTGAGATGGATGTTAATACCGGGTCTGAACAGGCACTCAGTCTCTTTGATGACTACGGGACAAGATCTGAGGTCGTCTCATTTTAGAATTGATAAATGAAAGTTTATCCTCGTATTTGATATTGGACAAAAGGCTGTGACTGGAATGTTAGCTGTCATGCTCTGATTCCGATGAACCCCTCAGTTGTGAGATGTCATCATTTACTTAAGTAAGGTTTGGTTATCATTACATAACTTATCTATCAGTTCACCACTGAGGTAGCTGCTGTAAAGCTCAGTAAAAAATATACTATCCTCTCCATCTGGAGCTCCGGCAAGAAAAAGCAAGACATGCCTGACACTGACTGAAGGGTGTCAAAAACATGAAATCTTACCAGCTGCCAGTTCTGCCTCAAAGGTCTGACGAGACACAAAGTGGTAGTCTCGACCACCCACCTCGCTGTCTCGCCGGCTCCGCGTGGTGTCTGCAAAAAAACCCACAAAAGAAAAAACACAATTTGTTCATCCACAAACACATAGAAGAGTGTGTGTGTGTGTGTGTGTGTGTGTGTAGGTCTTACGAGGGACAGCGCCAGCGAACCGCTCTGGTTGGTTGTTGAGAAGTCTCTGCCTAAGTTCTCCCTGTCCACAGCTGGTTGGACCAATCAGTGCAATCGGCCGCTTCCTATTGGCTGGCTGGTGGTACAGAGCCATCTCCTCATAGGTGAGAATCTCCTCATTATCAAGATCTGGACCAGTGGAGAGGACAGAATAAGCAAATGACGGCTCGGTCCAAAGGTCTTGACATCATGTGCTGTATTTTAGAAAACCGCCCACTCTCTAAAAATAGAATACACACATCCTGGATATTTATTCTTACATACACGCTTATTATGTTTATTGCATCTGTGTGTGTCATATTCAGATTCAGTCTAGACAATGAAACTATAATAGAAGGTGTCAGTTTTATGTAATGTTGCTGCTACGATCAACATGACGGACAGATCTTCTCTTTCTTGTCTCCTTTCGCTGGGAGCCGGCGAGATGCTGCGGCTCTAGATGAGCCTTGAGCTACACACATGAAACACAGGCGGCGTGTCCCGGCCACACAGACAGGTAAACAGGTCATACCATCGTTCCTGTGAGTGTTGTACAGCAGCTTCTTTCTCTTCCTCTTGTTCTTCTTTGCACACCACAGCTTCCCTGTAAACAAACAGACACCTTAGAGCTCTCTGTTGGGGCTACAGGGCTTACTGCACTTACTGTATAGGGACACAAATTTTACTCAATCAATTATTTGTTTGGATGTTAAAATTCCGGTCCAATTTCATCTTATTGTCTTGTTTGGATTTATGTATGTGAGCTAGGGGGAGAACACATATTTTAGGGACTGAAATGTTGGAATGAAATGAAACGCCCGTTTCCACAAAGCATTTTATCTTACCACTAAGAAGACTCCTAAGTCACGCTAAAAGTAAAAGTTTTCACCTAAATCATCTTCACAAAGCTGTGCCGGTGAAAACACACGCACGTTTGTTGTTCGACATCTAAAGGAAATGGTATGAATTGTCCTATAATGTGGTTCTATAGAGACATTTCTTGTTTGGTGAACAGATCTGCTTACGGGCAGCTCGGAGATCTCCACGTCGTCAGCATTGTATGTTGCCAACTAGCGCAGCGTTGCCAAACACTGACCAGGTTGTTTCAGTTGGTAGGAGATGTTGTTGCATCCCTCACAAACTCCACAGCGATCATTATTCCCTCATTATTGAGTGGTATCTTTTCAGTGATTCAGCATCGCGTAAGGTTTCCAAAACACTGCGACGTGGAGTGACAGCAGCCATTTAAGATTCTTCTCTGTGATTTGGTCTTAGTGAGTTAGGAGTCCTCTCCACTGCTTGTAACTTCTCCCAGTTTTAGGTGCTACTTTAGTGCTAAGTGACTTTGTAAATTACTTTTAAAAATTAGGAGTCCTAAAGTTCGGACTGACATGCCCATTATTTTTAGGAGTATCAGCAAGTTAAGAGCTACTTTTAGCCTTAAGATGCTTTGTGAATATGACTGGACACCAACACATTTTTATTCTCTTATATTGTGATAATGTAAACTCAGGTTACTGGGGGCACTCTAAAATGTTTTATTCACAGCAATAAGGTTAGATGGTGTAGGAACTGACCAGGCTTCTCAGGCTCCTTGTCTTCTTCTATGGTCTGTTTCATGGCTTCTCTCTGCTGCTGAAAACTCTTGCCTGGGGAAAAAATTCAAGAATATTTACCCACAAGAGTCTGACTAAGCATTCTTCACAAACACATCATATCAAAACCCCAGCCACAGGCAGGCAGACAGGCAGACAGACAGACAAACAGACAGACAGACCTGGTACCAGTCCAGCTAGCGGCTGGTTATCCTCGTCTCCGTCCCTGTAAGCCTGCCACCAGTTGGGGTCTGACTGACTGATAATGTGGAGGATGTCTCCTTTCTGAAAGGACAGGCCCAGCTCTCTGCACGGTACATAAGGGTCATCTGAGGGGTCATAGTCAAAATGAGACTTCACATGGACCTGGAGGAGAGAAGGGAGAGAGACAGCAGACACATCCAGAGACGTTAGGACGTTTCCAACAGTGAAGATGAGGATGTTTACATCAGGATATTTTAAATCATTTTAATCATCATTTGCCAACTAAAGGCAACTGTTTTTCATTAGTCCGTTTGGTGAAGGTAAAAAAACTAATTGTGTTTCTTCCAGACTTAACATGAATTAAAATAAAGCAGTCATGTTGAGGACTCAGCACTCACCACAGTCTCTTTGACAGGAGGCGGTTTGCTCTGGCTGCTGGGAATCAGCACAAAGGTCAGAAGGCCATGCATGTCCGCCTGACACACACACACACACACACACACACACACACACACACACGCACACACAAAGAGAAATGTTGTTATCCATCAGCTTGCCTTCATCATCTCAACTGACATTTATTTAAATGTTGTATTTAACCTGTCGGCAGCCTCACTGCTGTTCTCCACTGAAGTTGAAACTGAGTGAAATGAGCTGAAGTGTCTGAGCAGCATCATGATCAGAGCTGCTCCACTTCTCTACATGAGGAGGAAAGGAGCTTCAGTGCTTCCTATCTCATCTCCTTTAGCAGAGGAAACACTGGAGCTTCCTTTACCAAAGGAAAGGAGAAATGCCGTCCCACAATTCCTTGCTGCAGCAACATTTAAAGCGACCCCAGAGCATCTATTTTAGAGTTTAAATATATATATCTATTTAAATATAGATTTATTCTCTTTAAATCCAGTCAGGAATCATCATGAAAAACAAGCGGATTGAACTGATAGTCAACTATATCATCATCATTATTATCATTTCTATGTAATTATTATTTTAATGGGTCAACTTTCCCTACTTGTATTTTCCTTTCATGTCCTCTTATTTCAACATTTGAGTCCTGTTTGTTTTGCGTTTGTGGTCAGAGAAGCAGGATTTATCATCCATGTGTTATAAATAAAGTTGTTTTTTAAAAAGAAAATCCAGTGTAAGTGCAGTCAGATTCTCTGTGGTTGTCTTTTCATAACTCTTTATGAATTCTCCTTCATGTCCCTCTTTGACCTCATGAAGTTTTCCATCGAGGTCGAGGAAAAGTGGTTAGAAAGGGAGATTTTTTTGTTTTTGCTTTTCGACCGCAGCCAAAGTATCAGTTCATACTGCCATCAACTCACATCATAGATCAGTGAGTGGAGGAACAATCTAAATGTAGGTCAGTAAAATGCCCTTTAGAACATATAGATAGGCTCAAAATCCATGTCAACACCTCAATTGTAACAGGTAATTGTAATATAATTTGTGAAACTGACAGTAGAATAACAGTGACAGTAATAGTAATAGATTACTCATTAATAATCATTCTTTCTTATCACTGCATCTAAGAAGTGTGTTAAATATTTGGAGATAAGAATATACTCACAAGAATGTCAAAGACTTGGTTGACATCTTTCCCTCTGATTTCGATGCCATTTATCTCCAGGATTTCATCTCCCTCTGATAAAAGTCCACTGCGCTCAGCCGCTCCACCTCGAACAATACGGCTGATCACAACACTGTCCATTTCATTACGAACAGTGGCTCCCTGCACAACACACACACACACACACACACACACACACACACACAGTGAGTTACAGTGACTGTGTGAGTTGAAGTCTATTATTTACAGTGTAAATACCCATGGAGACAAGCTAATCCTTTCTGAAAGATAATAAAATTCTTTTAACAGACACATTAATTATATGTATATAAAATGTATATACAGTATATATAATATAATTCATATATATCCAAATGACAGCAAACTTTCAGACTTCCAATGGAATGGGCCTGAATAGTGGATTTGCTCAGAAAGGCATGGTATATCTGCATGGTCATTTTGTTGCACACAATCCAGCTACCAAAATAAGTGGTCGTTGATGAAAAGGTATGCCAATTACGTTAGCCAGTGCAGTGGTAGATGTCCATTTACACTGGAGTATGAACAGACTCACCATAGATGGATGCATGGTTTTGTTTACCAATCCACTCCAGTGTAGTTTAAATGTTGCAGAGAGTTAAAACTAAAAGATAAGTCCACCGAACACTGCACTCCTAACGCTGATAGACTCACAATGATAAAGTCAAATAAAACATAAAAAAACAAAATTGATGCAGCAGAACCAGAAATATAATGTTTTTTATGTCATCCATTTTTCTTCTTGTTAAAACCTGGCCCCTACATGACCCACAGTGGAGAGACAAAAGAGCCACTTTTTTCACTTATGCTGGAGTTCCCGCTGAGAGCTGGTGGAACACAAGCTAAACTACAAGCGAGGTCAGCTCTGTGTTCAGCTGTCTCCCCCCCTGATTCAGAGTTTAGGTATACGCGTCTTACCAGCGGTATATCTTGGGCCTTCTCTATGCGAACTATCTTCACAGTCTCTCCTCCCCACTGGGTCAGTGTTTCTCCTTGGGCAGGCGGAGGTTCAGGCTGCATTTCCGTCTCTGCTATGCTGTCATGCGCCAGGAGCAATGACTGGAACACACACACACACACACACACACACACACACACACACACACACACACACACACACACACACACACACTCAGCTATAGGACTGTATCAGTGACGGTCACTACAGGAGTCTTTTGTTTTTGCTCAGGTTTGTTATCAATTTTCTGCCAGATTTGCTCAAATTGCCATGAGTCCAATCGGCCACATGGTGGCGCTGTAATTAAAGACAATTTTGGAAAGTCCACATCCCTCACACCGTCTGTCTGACTGATTTGAAATCGGACACACAGGTCCAGCATCTTGGACCAAATTAGTCTGCCATGATGGATTTTTTGCTAATTGGCTTGATGTGAAAAATAGTAAAATGAATAGAACTTTATGGATTTTTACTTTAGCAACACCAAATTTGGTATACGGCCTTGGGGGACTGAGGTACACATTTCTATGATAAATGAGGAAAAATCATTCAAAAAACATGGCCGCCATCTATCAAAATATCTTCAAAAAGGGCGGGGCTTAGCGAATATTGCCCATAAATCATTAACCATTTGTCCAACATCATAAAACTTTGTAGGTATCTTCCGGCCGTGATAGGGAACCAGGGAACCAAGAGCATTTTGAGCCTGAACCATATGTGTACCTCAAAACCTGGTTGACAGAATTTCACCAAAATTGGTACACATGTTCCAATTAACCAAAATCTGAAGTGCCATATTGATTGATGAAAGTGGGTGTGGCCTACTCGTCAATATGTGCCATCTCAAGCCTTTGCTCAATTTGCAAAGAGCTGGAACGAGTCAGAGACACGGAAATTGGCATCATAACTACAAAATGTGTAAATGCTTAATAAAAAATGTGAACTAATCGGACACATGGTGACGCTATAATTAACAGGAAAAAAAAGAAAAAGGGAAAAATTCGAAAGGCTGCCACCACCACTTTACGAGTCCTACTGACTTCAACTTTACTTCACACCTACAGGTCAATAAAAAAGCCTTTAATGACAGAGGCCACAGTAACGGCTTTTTAGTTCATTCACATAATTAGCAAAAGTTTGGCTGCTTCTCTCTGTTGAGCACAGATGATCCAAATCATGGGGCTCAAACCTGTGAATTGCAGCTTGCGGCTATAATTTTTACTTGCTAATAAAGCTTTGAGCGTGTGCGCCTGTCTGTACCTGGATGTGTGTGTCGGACAGCAGGCTGTGGAGTTCGAGTCCCTCTTTGTTCTGACTTGACTGGATGGTATTCCTGACCTGAAACCAGGGCAACAACACAGAACATCATCACCCATCATCACAATAGCTATTATATAGTACATTATCGCTGTAGCACATGCAAGCGAACTGAGCATAACTCAGTCTTTATATAGTAATAGAGACAAGTTTCACAAGGAGGAGGACAGGAAAGAACTTTTAAAATACTGCTGGCAAAGAGACGTTGGAAAACAAATTGATTGGAAAGCTTTATGACACATGGATGGAATTACCTGGGCTCTGAAAAATATATTTTCTACTATTTTATAATTTTGTAGTATGAGAATGTGCCTGATTAGAGAGAAGACAAACTGTGAAATGTGCCGCCGGGTGCGCAATGTAACTTTAAAATGGGTAAGGATTTAAATGTCTTTCAATCCAAAACTAAAATGAAAGTAGTCCTGAGCTGGACCTCAACTAAAGGTGGCTTGAGTTCTTGTCTTGGACACTGTGGCCGTTCCAATTCTTCTTATTTCGTTTCCACTTCTTTCACAACGACAAAGGAACATGCTTCTAGGAGTGCAGTGTGAACCAAAGATGTGGGTGGAGATGCCAACACAAAGCACAAATAATGCGTTGTTGTGAAATGAGCCATGAATAGCTCTATCAGCTAGCCAACTCAACAATGTAGCAGGGAAATAATTGGAGCACTGATAGAGCTAGCAACATGTTTATTAGCTTCACTTGAACTGGTTATGATCAACCTGGTGCCATCAGTTGTAAAATGATTTACCATCACAGAGTTTGATTCTTTATGTCGCTCAGTCCAAAAGTTCGGCCTTAAAATAAAGTTTGAGCCGAAACTGACAGTGGTATCACAGAATAAAAGAGTTTGGCTCTGTGTGTATATAGCAGTGTGCAGAGGAGTGTGTGAGTGTGAGTGTGTGTGTGAGTGTGTGTGTGTGAGTGTGTGTGTGTGTGTGTACGTACTGTAAGCACTAGTGTTTCATCTCTAATTGATCTGGAACAGAGCTGCTCTGTCTCCAAGCCCATTATTACACTCATTGACCTGGACTGTCATCTTGTGTGTGTGTGTGCGTGTGTGCGTGTGTGTGTGTTAGTGTGTGTGTGTGTGTGTGTGTGTGTGTGTGTGTGTGTGTGTGTGTGTAGCTTTGTGTCAGTTGAACATGATGCAATAAAGACTGTCAAGGAACGGGAAATTAATGATCATTTGAAATACATGTAATTTGGATAAGCATGTGTTACCTCCATGGCCAGCTGCAGTGCCTGCTGTGTGTGTGGGTATGGAGGAGAGGGTCGATGCATGCTGGTGGCCACGGCATTATGGATCTTCAGCGCTGACTGGAAATCAGACTGAAGGAAGAAAAAGACGGCAGGAAGTTCCATCAGGATCAACTCAACTGGAGCTCACACATGAAGCACATCTAGGCTGTCCTTTCACCACACTCTACCTGTTTTTACATCAGTTTAAAATGAAATGAAAGTGCAACTAAAAACAACTCCTATCACAGCATTACTACTGTTGTGAAGCCGATTCCGAAAATGCTTGAATTTGTGTCCATACAGATCTTTTTCAGATCAGTTTTGCAAAGATCTCCAGCTCCACTGAACAGAATAACCAAAAATCATATAAAATTATAAAAGAAAAAAGAACTTTTCTTTTTTTGGTCTACAAATGAGTGTGCATCACAAACCATCACCTAGTACAGAATGGGACACATACAGGCTGGTAAGTGGGAATACAGCTCTGCATTAAGAAACACAAGGGGCTGTGTGGGTGTGGAAGGTTGCTTCAGGCACAGTGAGACATTTAGCGGAGCAGACAGGCAAACCAACTGTGCATTTTATGACTCAAGCATGAAAGTTTCAGCATATGATCTACACACCTCAAAGTTTTATTTCAGACGTGGAGGCAATTTGTATCTGACCTCTGGTGACCTTGAGAGGTCATTGACCTCAGCGTTACATTTTTCCAGTTTTTGGCCCCATTCCTCCATTATAATCAGGTGTCTCTTTGCCAAAATTGCATTTTTGTTCTAATAAAAGATGTTTATTTGCTGCTACATCGATGCACCATAATTTTGCTTAGAGCACCATATTTTCCAGGGGACTGCAGACCCCACCATTTCCAGGTGTTAAGGTAGCTATAGCTTGTTAAAAACACTGACAACCTCTGCTGCGTTCTGTGGAATTACATGACTAGCTAGCACATTAGCAATCATTCTAAACAGAAGCTAACATGCTAATTTGGTCTGCACCACACTCGTTACTCCAGGGGGCCCTGCCCTGTCCTGGAGGTGACATCTGGGATGCCTCCACATCTGAAAATGAACTAAAGTTTCATGATTTAGTCTCTAAATGCACCAAACCTTCCACAGCTTATCTGCTGCACTAAATGAAGTAGAATTCAGGACAGCCAATCAGAGTAATAGATCCACGAGTCTGAAGACGTATTTGAAGAAGACAATTATTAATCCTTAGTTATACTGCTATAAGCCTATACAGCTGGGGGAACTCCCATGATGCACTTCTGAGCACTTCTTCTTTTTCTCTCTCTTTTGCATTTACAGAAAGGTTGAGCGAGAAGACACGCATTAACTATGTGTCTTATCTCTCTCTCTCTCTCCGTCCTCGTTCTGCAGATATCTCTGACTCTGGAGCTGCAGGATCCAGATCTCTCCCTCTCTCAGTCTGGCTCTGTTGGAGGTTTCTGTTGGAGGCCAAGTGCTGCTCACTGTGGGAACTGTTGGGTTTTGTAAGGTCTTGACCTTCCTCTACAAAGTGCCTTTAGTTAATGTTTGTTGTGATTTTGCGCTACGCAAATAAAATTGAATTGAACTGGATTACTTTACTGCAAGAGTCACCAACCACAGGGCACAATGAAGCCATTATTGTTACAAAGTAATCTACTAGGAATGTGTGCTTGCATGTATTTGACTGACTAATGCATTTAAGACAGAAGTAACTAATGGTTTAAGACAGAGTGGTAACTTGACAGTTTTTTGGTTTACAAGTATATTAGCAACGACCTTCCAAAAGAATACAGGACCATCAAATGACAGCAACAATTCTGGTCTTAAATATAGTGGTGAACTGCAGCTGCAGCAGTTTTGCAACCAATCATACATTTGGGGTGAAATAGAGACATCTTATTTTTCATGTTTGACTAGTCAGCAACATTCCGCAGTGTAAATTCCACCCAGACAGTTCCTGGGTCATTAGAAATTTGGACCCCAGGAGCAGGAACAATTCCTCAGAAACCCAAACTAAAACTCGGTTCCTCTGGGTTTCTGAGCCCCTAAAAGGTTCCTGGGTTCCTGGAAAGATTCCTGTGGTTTAACAGGGGCCATTTAAGGCTTTTTGACTCTGACCACGAGAAACACTCAATTTTTTATTTTTTTGCAATGAAAGTCATCCAATTTAATAAAATGTGATACTGGTACAAAAGGGGCTCATCACTTCCAAAAATATTGTAATTGTCCAACTGTAGTCTCCACCCTCCTCCTCCCAAAGTGAAGCCTTCGTTGCAGCTGCAGGAGTCTTGTGAGGCCCCCCATTGTCACGGATACTGCAGCTCAGACGACACCGCTAACCCTTTTTAAATCTCTTTTTACCTTGGAGGTCAGAAAGTATTGAAAAATACCACAATTACATATTCACCCAAGGCTCTTTCCATCTAATTCCCTTTATATTACCTTGTTTAGTAGTGCAAGTACCAGTTCGATGTCATTCTGACTCTGCTGGTCGGACAGACAGCCCCGGACCTGCTTCAGTGACAGCAACAACTCCTCCAACTCTGCAAGAAACACACACACACACACACACACACACGCGCGCACTTTCACGTCAATATCCAAATCAAACACATCTTTAAAATCACTCTTATTTCAAATGATGTGAGGCGATAACTTGCTTGTTCTGGCTTCAGAGTAACATGTGTCTGAGTGAGCTTCTCATTTCCTAGTCGAGACTTCGCTTCTACAGTGTGTGTTCCTGTTTGTGTGATTACGTGAGTGTGTAAACAACACCACCCCTGACAACGTTTTAATTAAGTCGCCCTCAAGAGCCTCTCACGTCCTTCTCTCCCTCCGTAAGGAATTCCCTCCCTGACAGCAGACATGTCTTCCTTACATTCCTTTCCCTCCCAGCTTCCTCACTCCATCTCTTTATTTTCACCCTCCCCTTGCCCCCCCCACAACCCTCTTCTCCGTGGCTCTTTGAATTATCTTTCCAGCATCTCTTTCACCTCAACCTCTTTATTATTTCCTTTCCGTCTGAGATCTTTGCTGTTGTGCTGTTGTGCTGTTGTGCTGTTGTGCTGTTGTGCTGTTAGCTGTGCGTGTATGTTGTACCCAGCGGTGCTTGTGTGTGCTGGCTGCCGAGTGCTGGCTGCTGCGGTATGTATGTGTCTTCCAGGAATGTGGGGTTGTCGATGCCGATGTGGGGATTCTGGGAGAGCTTCCTGAGCCTGAGTGAGGCGTTCAGGTCCAGCTGCCGACCCTCCTCCTCTCTACGACGTCGGAGGTCCTCCTAACACACACACACACACACACACACACACACACACACACACAGGAAAACATATCATTGTAGTTTCAATTTATAACTCATACAATATATTCTTACATTGAATAATCCGCCAATCTAATATCAACTTGTTTATCAAGAGGCCCAATAATAAAATCAACCTAACATCCCCCTGGAAATGAGAAGTTTCATCTTCTCTCGGTTAAACAGAAGCTATCTGAGATCTGTACATGTTGACATGTGATTGGCTACAAGGCTCGACCACATGTGCTTATGTTCAGTATGAAGATCTTTTACTTAATCTTTACTTAATGCCAATTACGCAATAGGGCTGAACAGTTAATTGTTTTTATATTAAAATTTAGAAAGAGTGCGATGTTCAAACTGCAAGAGCTCAATGATAATTCACAGTGCATCTTAACAAGTTCTAGAAAGTGAAAGTCTAAGTCAGTAACTGCTGATTTCACCAGATACGATGACGACTGTCGCCAGTAAATTTACCCTGCTGTAATTAATTAATGTCAATTCTGTGAGTTAATGAAACAACAACAAAAAAGGAATCTCCTCTGTTGTCTGGTTAACACACTCCCTGCCAGTGTCTGTTCATTTAGCTCAGAGATGGTTTGCGGTGTCTCTTTGCTTTTCATAAGAGACCAACAGAGTGAAATTCAAAGTCGAGGTTTGCATATGGACAGTAGAGACATGTCCCTACCAATATTTGAGGGAACTCGCTGTTTGAAGTTAAATTAGATCATTCTGATGTCCCCTCCCAGAGGTTACTTCTCCAAGACAACCGATTTAGGCATGCTAGCATTTGATTGGCTGAAAGGGCGGGGGCTACCTGGAGGCTCACATCATGGACAAATATCACACTTACAGACTTACATCATTAGATCGTTAATACTGATGCATCACTGGATCAGAAGCATTTTACTGTGGTTTTAAATGTTAAATCAAGGGGGGAGGGGGGGACTACAACACTGGTAGGTTTCATGAATATAAACACTTTGATGTTGGATCTGTTACTGTGTATAGTTTTAATTTAAATGTAAACACAGATCTTCATTTGAATACAGATGATATGTTAAGATACCATATGTAAGATATGTTTTTGATGATGTTTTGTTACACTCATATCTAGTTTAAAACTATGTAGACCACAAATACAAATACGTACCTATTGGCTAATAACTGCAATTGTAAGTGCAATTGGATATTTTTCTGAAACCTGTCAGGCCTACTACACAATATTCTTATGTTTCACGATGAGTCAGAACAGGTGATCATGAGCCCTTTTATAATATGAACTCTCCAGAGTTTTGGTTCACAACAGCAGATTGTCCATGTCAGACACGCTCTCACCTGCTGGGAAAACTCAGTTTGGGTGTTTAGGTGACGGGTGGCGCCTGGGTAGAGGGTGCAGTCATCAACACGTCCACACACTGATGATGTCACTGTCACCAGCATTGAATGTTTACGTATATAAACATGGTTTTTTTGAATGGCCGTGAAGCTGGAACTATTCATTGTCACTACGCAGTGCAGTGGGCTTCATCATATGTGCAGAGGGCGGAGACCGACCCATAGGGGAGGTTCATTTAGTTCACACAGAACTAAATTAACGACGCTATCGTGCAGCATTATGGGAAATGTAAGTGCCTCTTTCTCTTTGCCATGTTAACAGTTGTACATGGAGAAAAGCTCTCCTCCTCCTTCTGGTCACTGTCATAGAGACTATGGGTGTCAGAAATGCACTGGAGTAAAAATTCAAATGTTTCGTTGTAGAATTTAGTTCAGTGGAAATGTAAAATAACATAAAATAGAAAGGATAAAGTATAAGCGCCTCAGAGCTCTTGTGAAGTCAGCTCATGCAAAGATATGCTGATGGACTCTGGCTAGTGATTGAGACGTAGCACACTATCTGTTTTGTAATCTGTTTCCATTCTTGTTTTGCACTTTCTAGTACAGCAACCCCGAGTAAAAGAGTAATGACCAGCTGTGTAACTGAGTAATAACTGTGTGTGTGTGTGTGTATACCTGGTGTTGTCGTATCCTCTCCAGTTGTGCAGATCGTCGGAGCGGCAGCATTCGACCGCCCAGCTCTCCTGGACAGTCGACGGCCATTTCTCGGTGCTGCTGTCCTCCCCTCAGCTCTTCATCTCCTCCTCCTCCTCCTCCTCCTCCTCCTCCTCCTCCTCCCTCCCCAGCAACGTGGCCGTTCAAATGGGAGGTCGTCATCCCTCACGCACACACACCCAAAAGTCAACAGTGTGTGCGTTTGTGTATATTCCAGAGATGTTTAGGTATATGTATGTCTATATATCACAGAAGTCTAGGAGGGTAGCTCGGTAAACAGGGCAGCCATGATTCACCTGTGGAGAGAGCAAGAAAATGTCATTAATCTAGTTTGATTCTGTAACCCAACGTTCCTCCAAAACAAACACGAGGCATTTTCATAGTCATTTAGCTGCCATGTTTCCTGAAGTAACCCCATCAGACCCAGGTCTCATGTGAATGGTGACTATCAGATGCTTATTTACCTGTGACCAACAGTCTGGTACGACTGGGCAAACATAGGCTGGATGAGTGTTCAGGGGTTTGTGTGAAAAAGTGGTTTGAGAAAGTCACAATTGACACCATACAGCAAACCACACAACTGACCTGCGTAATCTCTGCATCACTAATCAACTTGTGTAGCAACTAGTTTACCCTCTGGTTACGTTTTCTGACTGGAACACTTAAAAAAGGATAAAATCCTGTTGGATTTTATAGTGGTCATGATAACACTGAATAACACTGATATCACCTCCAGTGAGGCTAGAAACTCAGGCTGTTTGATAACCAGGCACGCCAATCAGGCTTGTAGGCTTTACCTTTAAGAGTCATGTCAATGTCACATCAGTGGCTGCAGACGAAAACACCAAAATGATCTCCTTTCTAACCATCTCTCCATGACCTCGATGGGAAACTTCATGAGGTCAAGGAAAGATGTGAAGGAGAATTCATAAGGACGTAGTTTATAGTTTATAGATCTGTGACATAGGCACGTTTGAAATTTCTATATAATTGTTAACTACAGGAAATTCATTTCTAGTGTTCGACACAATGGGAGGGGATTTAGTGCAACAACATTTATGTATAGGCTGTAGTATTTTGATATGATGATGATATTGTTGACTATAAAGTCAAGCTGCTTGTTCTCCATGACGACTCCTGACTGGATTTAAAGAGAAGAAATCTCTATATTGGGCTTCAGTCGATCAGACAGGGATTTCCATCAGTTCTGGATCCAGTCACTCCCATCAGAATTATTCTTAGGTTTCTTTTTGCTGCGCTGCCAGAGCTTAACAATCAAAGTTGACTATGAAATACATTCGCCGAGCACTTCAACAGGAAGTCCTTTACACCTGCTTATTCATGCCATTATCCAGTCAACCAATACATAACATCATGCAGATACAGGTGATAGGTATTACTTTAAGAGCACAACATGATCATGTCATGATCTGCCTCTATAATGACATTGTTTATTTCCTGTTTTATTTTAAAATTACTTCCTTGTGTGTCTGCTTGTTATTTTACTACCTGTCCTTGTCTAGTTTTGTGATCGTCTGCCCTGCCCTGATGTATTTCACCTGTGTCCAATTACCCATGCCTCCCCTGTGTATTTAAGTCTCTGTCAGTTCATCTGTTTTGTTTCTGTTGAGTTTTTCCAGGTTCAGTTTCCTTCATTACTTCCTGTGTTTTTGTCAGTTTGGCCTTTAGACTCCTTGCCACCCCTGATTGGATTTTGGTTTCTTCATCTAAGTAAGACTTTTGTGTTTTTCTTTGTTGAATAAATCTTTGAACTCGACCACTCCAGCCTTTGATTCTGAATTAAGGTCCAGATATTCTTTAACCTATGACAAACACAAGATACAACTTGGTCACTTTGTACCTCTCCCTACTAATCTCTCTCTCCTCAGCACTTCAGAGACAACAATGTCATGACAGTCCCCCACTCTCCACACATATAACCATGACAACAGCTTTGTCAGCCGCCGGGTGGTCTCACACACACACACACACACTGAACAGAGTACTATGTAGGGAGGAGGTGGGAGGGAACAGTGGATGGATGGAGAAATGAGAGGGCAAGCAAGGTAGAAATGCATGGAGAGAGAGACAGAGAGACAGACAGAGATAGGAGGTAAAAATAAACACAGAGATGGATGGATGCCTTATCTTTGAGTTCCACAATAACAACTATCTCTTACCAGCAGAGAGAGAGAGAGAGAGAGAGACACACACACACACACACACACACACACACACACACACACACACACACACACACACACACGTAGAGAGAAAGCGAGAGCAGAGGTCCCATGATGCAGCAGTGAGGAATGCCGAGCAGCCCTGGGAACAAAATTCCATAGATGGGGGAGGGGAGTATGTGTCATGTATGCTGTGTGTGTGAGTGATCACAACACACGACACTTTATAGGTCAAAGTAGCTCCAACCCACACCTCCAGTGTTGTTTCACTGACTGGACTCCAGGTTTGATAGCTCCTGACTCCAGCTAGCTTTTCTTGATGCCATTGGCTGAAGGGTTCTCATCCCTTTTCCAGCTTCACTGTCAATGTCTGAATGATGTTTTCATTATGGACAAGAACAATACAGTGATTTGTGTGTTATTAGTTCAAATATATTGTGTTTGTTCATAATTGTGACTTGGATGAAGATCTGAACACATTTAAGAGGAAGATTTATTTCTGTTTGTTCCAACCCAAAATTAATGATAAAAAAGACCAACAAGGATACAATCAAAGTTTTGAATGGAGAATATTTAAAATTACAGATGTGGAATATTGACAACAAACATCACTTACTGATTACTTCAATTAGAAAAGATACAAGTGTGTGCCTTCAAGCAGTTTACACCTGTCTCCTTTTTCAAGTTCATATGGCCTCAAAAGATAAATATATATATATATATATATATATATACATTCCCAATACCTCAAACTCACAAAAAAGTTGGAGGTTAATGTGAATGGGTTTTCCCACTCAGCTGTTTGTAATTACAGTTTAAATGATATGACATGAACACTGCATTACTTACACCTGTGCATTTCCTGCTATGACAAGTAATATCTCACAGAATCCAAGGAGTCTTTAATATCTGTGCTGGCATTAGAGTATACTTAATGTTGTCATAATTCAACCGTGAACATACTCAGAATTAGTATGTAGTATGGATTAGGGACACAGCTTTGGTATCACGCTGCCAAATTTACTTTTTAAAAAAGGTTTTTATTATTATTGAAGGTTCCCAACAACAGCCGTAGGAAATTGGTCATGCAGCCTTTGAAAGTTACAGCCTGAAGCTGTGGAACACACTACCTATAGATATCAGAGAGGCCAGCTCACTAAGTACTTTTAAAAGAAAGCTCAAAACTTATTTCTTCACCTTAGCCTTTAACTAAATTTTGCACTTTGCTTTGCACTTCTTTTCAACGCCTTCTATAAATATCGATGCCTTACCGATTTTCTGCTTTCTATGTAATCACTTATTTAAATGATTTGTTATTAAGTCAAATTAAATATGAAATATTTTTATTTTATTATTCTATCTAATTTTACATAATGTTTTTACTGTTTTTCATTTTACATTATTATTTTTAACATGTTTTTGTGCTACATTTCTTATATGAAAGGTGCTATACAAATAAAGTTTATCATTATTATTATTATAATTATCATTGCTAGAGATGTAACACTTCTTGGAGATGTCTCACCTCAATTTGCTTTAATTATTTATTTATTTATTTTCCTCAAATCAACTCTGAAAAACGTGATTTTAGTGTGGAGTGTTTGACCACTGGTAGTGCTCGTGCCAGGCAGTTGTACAGATGAAAAGCTGTTTCCCTGTCACAGAGATGGGTTTGAAATGGAGGGAGCAGCATTGTCAATACTACAACTGGAATATGAGATTTCCTATGATATTTCTATTCCAGTTACAATGTTGACATGAGCTGTTACCTGAGTAACCAGGTCAGCACCTAACATTAACACAAATTACATTAACATAAGAATGGCATGGCTCAGTTATATGAAGCCTTTGATGTGTTTACTGATTACACTGGCTTTTAAAGTTAATTCTCGGCAGTTCTGTGATTCACTAACCATTGGCAGATGAGTCAGAGCGTTGATGTTGGATCCTGAGGCAGGTCAGTACTGCTAACAGGTGCCCAAACTGAGTACATGTATTCTGTCCTACCCATTTAAATACTATTGTTGTGGAAAGCTATTAGGAAACAGATCCATTAGGAAACCGATCCATGAGCTGCTCTGAGTAGTGATCCATACATTCTTATTGAAAGCTGTGTTTGAAGATCAGTGTTTCTGGCTGATGATGTGGGATTTGGTGTTGACACCCAGTTTGGCTGGAAAAGCCTGTACTATGGCTTATGAAGACCTGCAGCTGTTTCCAACTCAAGACTATAGTGACTTGGTTAAATAAGACTGTATCTGCCTGGACTGCACTGCTGAAGAAACACACACAGGATTGATCAGCTACAACCTAAAGCAAGGACTCCCCCATCACACAAACACACACACACACACAACACCATCTGTCACCACAGCTTACCCCCTGGTGTGTATGCATGAATGTGTCTAAGCATGCGTGTCGTGCTGAGGCAACAGTTCAAGGCAAAGCTATGGGAAACAAAAAAGCTCTTCCAATAAAGAGTCGGGGGCTACGGCTGCGATGTGGACAAGATTTCATAACTCTGTATTTATGCCAAATATCTCAATAGCAATACTATTCACATTTGAACAGTGAAATTAAGGATTCTTCAAAAAACAGCAAATAGACAAAGAAAATGCAGATACCTCACCAAATATTTTATCGATCATAGCAGATTAATCACTGTCTTCAGCTGCAGTAAAAAAAAAAAAAAAAAAGTGTTAACATGTAATTTCACCAGCTGTGTTTCCATTAACCTACTTTTTACGCACTTTGAAATAACAAACTTACAAATGAGTAATAGAAAGCCATGAATTTTGTGAAAAAACACAAATAACGCAAAAAAAATCATACGCTCGCATAAATTACTATTATATCACTTTCTGTTTTGCAACAAGTCTTATCCTCCCTACAAAAACCCTCCCCCCATCCACTTCCTAGTTACGTTTCGGCGTACGTTAGCAACATACGTGGCAGTGCGTCATCTTGAGCAGTTTGCTGGTTCAGAGACTTTCCATATATAGTCGGGCCAGTTACTGAGCGGAATATGTTGAATATAGTTTACCAAGATGTTTTGGAGTTTTCAATATGTTGGTGCAGTGCACTACAACACATTTGATCTACCTTATTTTGGTCTAATTTATTTTTATTTATTATTTTTATATACTGAATACATGTTTAGTAGTTTTCAGTAGGTTGTGGAAGTACACTGTCACAACATAGTTGATCTTATTCATTTCGATCTCATTTATTTATTTGTCTTTATATTTAATTGTATATATTTAGATATATATTATGTTATTTATTTATCTAATTTTTTAAATTAATTTTTTAATTAGATTTTCCGTTCAAATGTATTTAAAGTTCAAGAAAGTCCACTGTTTTTTTTTTTAAGTTCAATAAATGTGTGGGGTTTCCAAAGTCAATGAGTAATCGTGTTAAATAATCGTGATCTCAATACTGATCAAAATAATTGTGATTATGATTTATGCCATATTCAAGCAGGCCTCTGCTCCCATGAGGTGGTTTTTTAGACTATTTGACAAAGCAATATTTTGCAAAAGTGAAATGGAAACACTTTTTTCACATTCAAGTCACGGCTCCTGTCATATCAGGTCTCAGGGAGTCAGTTCCAACCAAGAGGCGGACTGCTGGAAATCTGTCGTCATGTTTAATTGGAACGATATCACAAGAGGAGAAAACCCAGCCTTATTTGCAAAACATCACTCAATGGAAACACAGACCATCCACTATTGTGTTATGCTGACTTTTCTAATTACTTATCACTTCTATTTTGCACAAAAATGTGATGGAAACCCGGTTACTGATACTGTGTAAAGATATTTAAAGAAAAACGCTCTCTGTACTCTTCAAACATTGTAATTTCATGATTTCCTGCAACCGAAATTATGTAAACAACTCATATTATTTTTTTTAAGACTTGCAACTATTGGTCAACTGATAAATTAGTTAATCAAAAGAAGCTATTTTGATAATAGATCTTTGAATGCATTCAGGGTCAGTTTAGCAAGACCCCAAAACTGATTTGCAGGCAAGGATGCTAAAGTGTCAAAAGTCAAATCAGCAGCGCTACATGGTGAGGATGAGAAGAGTTCAACTTTATGCAAATGTCATGAATGAATGACAACCTGGAGACAACCAGTTAAGTTTATTTTGATTTTCTTGCAAAACAGAGGATCTGAGTTGTTTTTTCTATCCACTCAACTCAAAAGCTGATGGCTGCAGTCAACAGCTTCCCCCTCCTCTACGATAATAAATGAGCTTCTGAAAAAAGAAATCCATGTGTGGAAACATCACTTGGGAAAAGAAAGTAGCTATTTCGTCATACACTGGTATAGTGAGATGCGAGAAAATATGAAGCAGTGTGTTATAATTGAATCCATGCATGTGAAAAAGAGGTTAAATACTCCAATGGCATTCCAGAGCAGCAGCTTACAGAGAGATATTAGTTAAAATCCCATAACCACTTCCTATACCAAGTATACACTCCCAAATGTTTTGCAGTGTTTGCTTTTGGTGACTAGATTTTTAACTTTAATGTTTAATTGACAAATTTCATGGTGTTCAACTTAAAATAAACATATAAAGACACAAAATAAACACACTGACGTGACAATAAATGACACGTGGCAACATATTATGTGATAAGTTCATTATTTTATCAAAGATGCTTCTATTTCCTCCTTAGGGCGGCAGGTGATTGACATGAAGCAGAGTATGCCATAAAGCTGGAAATGTAAACTCAAAGTCTGATGTTTACTGAAGGATTATCTCAGTGTGTTACTTGTTTATTTAAGATGTGTAACAATGACAAGCAACGACTGGCTCCTCTTGAGGGTATTAAAACAAAACCTTGTATACTCAGCTAAACCAGCAGGTGCAGTGCACTGTTAGTTCTGGCAAAAGCGCAGTATCAGCAACAAAGGCGACTTCACCGATTTCTAGTTTGGAGAGTACATGTATATGAACAGCAGTAAATGTCCCTTTGCCTTCCATATATGAAATTATCTCTCTGCTTCTATCTGTTAAATTCCCTCAGGTGATGTCATCAGGAGGAGTTTTGCAACCTGTTTAGATTGCGAGCTGTACTTCCTCATTCTTTGTAGGTCTGCCTTCAAGAACAGTCACAGGGCATGTCCGAGCCAAAACAAGCCCCCGCCATGTGGTTCTCTTGCTATAGCAACAGTAAAACGCTGACAGTAAAATACCCGTGTATTTACTAGAGCGGTAGTTTCATGAAAAAATGTTGGATACAGATGTATAGACACAGCAGCGTATGGAAGAGGAGGTGGCCACCTTCGTTCCAACTGCTGCTGAAAGAGACGCCCTACAGCTGGGGTAGCTCAGTTAGCTACACCCACCGGTGCTCTGTGATGAGTGGTGTGACGTCAGTGTGGCAGATGCACACCCATGGAGGAAGTATCTACTCACTATCCTCACTACAACAAACTTCACTGTGTTCAGCTTCTTTCTCTTTTATTTATTTATTTTTAAGATGAAGAGCACAACAGTGAGCCTCGTGTGGACAGGTGTATCTCTAAAACAAACAATAAACAGGACCAGGTCAAAACCTAGTACATGGCTGCACCATGTAGTATTTGCATTCAGCCTAGTGTCAACTGGTTTCTGCCCTTTGTCTGTTTGCTTCTCTCCTCCTCTCTGTGTACTTATTTATATGTTTTTCTGTTTCTGTTGTCAGACAACAGAACAGTGACCATATTTTCAAACCCCTAAACCGTGAGCATTAAGTATTCTGCACATTTATGCGCTTATGCCCTCACCATAGACATTCTCATCAGGAGAGGGGACAATTATTTCACATACATGTAATTTGTCACATTATTAGAAAGCCAACAAAAATATGTCGCAGGTCTGATGGTTCACAATCGTCGACTTGCATTGATCTAGCTTTAACAAATGTTGCTGAAATGTGCTCAAAAACATCAATTCCAGTAGGCTGTAGAAATCATTATTTAAAAATTGCAATTGGAGAGAGGACTAAAGTTCCAAAATCTGGTCAAAAATAATATTAAAGAGGATTGTTAATACCAGTTAATGACAACATGCCCCTGAAACACAACAAACTGTGGGAAATGTTATGGCTCCATGGCTGTATCAAGAACTCGAAGAATATATGGTGCAAAGAAACTGAGCCAATGTATTAATGTTAATCTTCTATCACTGAAAGATTATTTAAAAACCTGTTGTGACCGCAGAAGAGTAGCCACTGTTACACTGTGGCTAATGGGGATCTAAATAAATCTCAATCCAAACCTCCTGAGCACATCTTCCAACACCACGGGCGCAATGAACGCAGCATTTTCGTTGCCTGGTACCTTACAAGGGAAGGAGTAAACCTCCTAGAGCTTTTCTTCAGAATGGCAGCTAACTGTTAGCATACTGTCAGAAAGACCCACCAGCGTCATAGCCTATGATGCTTGTCTATGACTCATTGGATATCAGCCCTGAATTCAGACATGTGGTGCATTTTTATATTGGGTTGGGTAATAATGATAATTGTGGTGAATAGTACACAATTTGTTAGCCAATATTGAAATCCAGGACATTTAACGTTTTATATTTGTCAGGACTCGGGACACCCAGCTTGAAACTGGAAACTGGGACGTCTGGTGACCACACATAACAAGTTTGAAATAGAAACTGAAAAGTGGCCTATTAAGACAACATGTTAGCAGTGAACACTTCCAAGCTGCTGCTGCTAACATCCAGATTTTATAACCGCAATGTTGTCTGACAAAATAGACACAAGTTAAAGACAACAGCTGTGCTTTTGGTTATATGTACTTGTAAAATGATCACTCAGAGAGAAAGTAAGAAGCTCATTCACGTCAGCTGCCGTGCAGTCAGCATAGAGAGGTGTGACTGCAGAAGGAAAGCCCAACTCAAGGGGCAATACTGACGACCCTCCGCTACAGAAAGTAGCTGAGGTTTATCCAAAGTCACTAGATTCATCACTGGTTGTTTTTTTGTTGCAGTTTAGAGGGGGAGAGTGTAACCCGCGTTTTTTTTCTGTCACTACAATTTACATATGTCCCCTAAACGCCTCAAATGCAGGGTATAGGTAGATGCTAGCTAGGAGGCTACACACAGAAGCCTCTAGTCCCCACTAAGTAACTGCAGCACATGCAACTCAAATGGTGTTTGGCAAAAAATGATTTAGTTTTAAAAGTGAAATGAGGTGTTCTAATGTAAGATTGACCTAACTTGTAACTGAGTGATTTTGTCTACTTGGATGGGTCTTAATCTAGCTAGGCGGGCCAACCAAGTACAGTCTATGTATGGAAATGCTGTCTTTTCAAATGAAATGAAGCATTGACTGAGTTATTTGTATTGCACAAGTTGCAAGTGCACAAAACATAGTACCATGATACTCAAGTGTATCGACATTCTTTTACACCCCTACTGTGAGGCTGCTTATACAATCTTTTTTTGCCTTTTTCTCTGGCTATATGGTACCAGTTTCAAAAATAACTGCATACTACAAAGGTGACCTAGTTTTAAGAAACAGTCCCTTTTCCAGCAGTGAAATTCCCCCTTTATTCTACAAGCGGTTTATGTTCTGTTGCTCATAAACTCTTTAAATACAGCAATAAACAATACAATGATCATCACAGCAGTATAAAGTAAAGCAGCATAGCTCTAAGGAACCCTAGCAAGAGTGATATTCACCTGTTGGTACATATTAAAACATTTGGCTCTGGTAAAGAGACATAGAGAGAGTGGCAGAAAGAGAGGGATTAAATGAGGGCAAACACTGTAGAGTTCAATTACATACCATATCAGTCACAAAATGTGTCCTTACTCTGAACATAAAGACTGAGCTGATTTTGTCCCTTGATAACTCCAATAAACTTTATTTAAAAAAGACAACGACATCCTCAACAATGTTGACGAAAAGAGAAAAGCACTATTACTTTGTGCTGTTCTACTGAGTGGAAAAAGCAAGACGAAAAGTTGTGCAGAAAAGTTCTCAGTCTCAGTCAGGATCACCATTATAGCCACAACATGTAAATAATGTTGGGAAATCTTGCTGTGACTAACACACAGTGAGTAAAGTAGCAGGTCTGTGTAAGTCTGTGTGTGTGTTGTGAATGTCACTGGGAGCAGAAGCAGAGCCGACTCTTATCTCGTGTTGAACAGTACACACTGAAACATACACGCACATTCTTAAAAAGGGCTGTACCACCTTGTACCAGACAAAGAGGAAAAGAGCCAAAATGAAGGAGAAAATAGGGAACGTGGACATAAACTTAATGATGAGAGAAGATGAACAGCTGTCAAAAAGCTTAGTTTTTAACTAGGAATTGATATTTCAATGAATAGTTGTGGAAAGATTTAAGAGATATTTCTCTAATATTTGTCCACCACCTGCTTACAATCAAACACATACAAATTATTATTATTATTTTTTTTTAAATTGTGGAATAGCCTCAGAAACATCAAATTTTTACAATATTTAAACTGTACTGAAAGTCAGAATTAAGCACATTGATTAACCAAGGCTGGAGAAACCTAACCTTCATTATATCTGAGTTGGGCAACACTGACCAGGTGACAAGATTAGGCCTAGTGGAAGTGGCTACATCAGTCTAACCCTGATTTGGTGACCCATGTTGATTTGGCAACAGCCTAACTGTGGGTCCCAATGAGGTCAGAGAACCAGAGCGAGAACGAGAGTGAGAGAGTGAGCGAGAGAGCATTCCAGAGAACAGAGGACTTCTGTTTTTTTTGGGTTTTTTCGCTGTCCTCACCTCACTGCTTCACCAGCTCTCTCTCTGTGTGTTCATGTGTGTCCGTAAAAGTCAGCCTTGACTTTATCACCATAGCCATGTGACCTCATTCCTGCCTGTAGAGCCAAGTTTCAAAGCATCAGAGTTCACATACTGTCCTATACAGTATACTATACAGCTGCAGGTAACTGGCTGGGCTGACAGCCAATAACTAGGGCTGAACAATTAATCACAATATTATCAAAATTGCAATATGGCTAAATGCAACATCCAGATCGCAGGAGTTGACACCCTAGCAAAAATCCCACCATCATTTTATATTTCTTTCAGTTATAATGAAATGAAAAATTACCATTCCCACTAAAATCGTAACTCATACCACAATTGCAATATCTGTCAAAATAGTTGTGATCTTTTTTTTTTTTTTTGCATATTGTTCAGCCCTACCTATAACACAGACTATAACTGAAGGTAAGGTACCTTCTGTCGACTAGCTACACATTCCTCCTATGTTTTAAATATAGTCCAATCCTATGAAAACATATTAATTTTGTAACAACACATACTGATTTTACTGTACTAACTTGTGAATTATGATACATGAAAATGGCTTCTTAGCTGCTGTTAAGTCCAGACCTGTCAGTAATGTATCAATCATTAATATTTATGCCAATATGCAACATCAGAAACAAGACTATTTGAAATGGCTGAACCACATCGTAGGCTATTTGCATTCAGCCTAGTGTCAGCTGGTTTTAGCCCCTTATCTGTGTGCTTCTCTCTTACTTTCATTGACAACATCGGCAGTATTGTAATACAGATGAATTCCCAGGAAAGATGTTGTCATTTACTTGTTTTTCTGTTTCTGTTGTCCCATTAAGACTTCGTGTTAACCAGCAGTCACTTCCAAGCCATCTGCTGCTCTGCACGGCTAAAATCCTTAATTTATAACCGCAATGTCGTCCGACAGAATCCCCAAACACAAAGGTTCAAGACAATGGCTGTGCTGTGATTTCACCTATATTCACTTGTAAACTAATCACTCACAGAGAAAGTTAGAAACTCATTCATGTCAGCTGTTGTGTGGTCAGCATAGAAAGGTGTGCCCAACCTTACGCTCACAGGGCAATACTGGCAACTCGCAAGCTTTATTCAAAAAGTAGCTGGATTTGTTGCTTTTTTTTTTCTTATTAAAAAAAAGGTGCTAAAGGGTTCTGAAAAGTCAGTAAATCTAGCAACAAAGGTGCTAAGTTGGCAACACTGTTTGATGGTGCCGAATTATTTTGAAAGAGTGGAGACCAGTGTTGAAACCTTATCATTTAGTCAGTCAGTCAGCCAGCAACATTCACTTCTGTAAGCCTCGCCCCACTGTTCTTGTCCAAAACCAAAACCCCACCTACACATATTCAAGCTCATGCTATAGCATACAGAAGCAACATACAAACTCTACACACTACACAATACAATAAATACATTTAAAATCAACACTCTTTGCCACAGCAACATTTTTGTGTTCTATTGATCCAACTTGTAAATATAATGGTCAAGCTTTCACCAAAAAATTATCCATAACAACAGCAGCATGCTGGACTGGTTTGGTACTTGACAAGCCCAAGTTCCATCAGGATCTTTTTGGTATAAATCACATTTCAATGTATACAGTGCATATAACCACATTTTAAACTTTTAGAGAAGTGTATCCCACTGCCTGGAATTCAGTGAAATAACCAAACAATTCTATATTGAATGCAAAAAATGAAGGTTGTATTCCAAAACTGTTTTTAAGTCCCAAGTTTTTGTTCCTAAAGCTGACCAGTTATTGGGTGTGTTTCAAATCCAACTAGTCATTAAGTGTTTGTTCCCTAGAGCCAGTGGATTATAAGGAACACAAAACACTAAGCCATGACAATGTGTCAGATAAACTGCCAAAGCAGCATAGTGTTATCATCAACTCCACACAGACAGCCTCAGGCACACAGGATGACACTACAAAGGAAGAATCATTCACTGACATTAGGTGATTTCAGTGTCAGTGTTTTTCAAGACAGCGCCTTGTCACTGATAACATTCACTAGGTAACATGTTTGCCTTTCTCTGCTGTCTTTACATATCTGTGTCTGCATTTCTTCAAACTTATCCTCCAAAGGTTTTGTATCTGACAAACACAACATAGGCTTTTCACCCTAAATCATTGACACAATATTTTACAATATATCTGACATCCACAATCCTGACTAATCTTAAGATTGCAAATCAGATGAAGATATAAAGAAAGAAAATCGTGTTAAATACTGTTTTAAATAGCACTGGTAAAATCTTATGTTGGCACAACCCAACCCAACCCATGCCGTTCTCTAACAGAGATAAGATTACTCCATTTAAAAAAATATGGCAGTTATTATCTCTTCTTCTTTTCCTGTAGGCACACAGCAGGTAAGACCTATGAGTAAGACTTTTTGTATGCATTTGAAAGAGCTACGTCTCGATTCATTCACTATCTTAACTTCTTAATTCAACGAAAGTGAGTCTGTTCTGATAACCACAGAAAAACACACACGCTGTAATATTACAATAACTTACAACATTAGCCAATGCTACGGGGTGAAAACACTAACCTCAGATGACAAAACGACACTAAACACAGTCCTCTGCTGTTAACAATTACATAACGTCAGCATGAATGGTGCTAAAATGGTGAGTTAGTTTCTTTCTGTGTTTGACAGAGTGACAGCTAACTAGCAACTTACTGAAAGAGAACAACAAATCATGCTAGGTGAGTAACGTTAGCTAAGAGAAATTACTGTTTTGTTTAGCCAGTTCTACTATCAAAGTCATCCATAAGTAACTTCACGAGAAGCTAATTAGCTTCATGTTCAGCAGAAATATGGTGGCTTCGGCTGATACTAACCTTTCCCATCAGTTTAGCGAGTAGCCACGGCCATTGTAACTTACTTTATTTGGCAACTGTGGGTCAATTTTATTTAACGTTATCAGGCTAACGTTAGCAGCTAGCTAGCTAACTTGCTCCTTCCTGCAGCAGCACCTGTTGATAACAAAGCCACTTCAGACCAGACCGAAAACACTGTAATACTCACTGTGTCCGAGCCGTCTACGCACTCATTTAACTGCTAAATCCAACCGGGAACTGTTGAATAAGAGTTAGTTTTAATCCAACCACTTTTGTTTCTGGCTTTATTTTCTCTAATTCACAGTTTCACTCTGACAGCCCTGCTACTCGTTTATTGGACCCAGCAGCGCAGACCTCTGTCCTGCTCCTCCTCCTCAGACTGTCATTTCCACCTCCAGACAGGGGGAGGAGCCAACATGCCAACAACTAGATAAAACAATGACGCGAGGTGCTACAATACAATGTTGTGTGTGAACCCTGTACAGTGGAATTATTCCCTTTCTTACATTTTTATAAAAAAATTAAATTAAATTAAAAAAAGCCAAAATTTACCACAAACATGGGTAGTAACAAAAATGCATCTGAAAATGTGTTGGCTACCTTAATATTTCTGTTTTTGTTTAAAAAATTACATTTTGTAAATTTACCATTTATGCTGATTTCAAGCCAAGTGTATCCCAAATTTGAACAATAATAATAATAAACTTTATTCATAGAGCACTATTCATACAAGCGATGTAGTTCAAAGTGCTTTATTAATACAAAAACACCCACTTAATATATCTTAAATACTGTAAGTGCATCACACAATATGCCAAACCTCAAAATGGTGATTACTGCTTTAGTATCATTTGTTGAGTTTACATACCTGAGTGAAAGACTGGCCGAGCTAAGAGACTTGACCTCAGATTGAGTCATGTGTGTAGCTCTAATCTATTTCAGAGACAAATAGACATCACTGACGATCATTTTTGTCATTACATACTGACTATTTGAGAAAAAACAACTTGCCCAAACACAAGGTACAGAATAATCAGGATTATTTTTATTAATTCATCTTCAGTTTCAATGATATTACAGAAAAAACATCCTCTTCATCATATTTATACAGTAGTAGTAGAATGCTGTGTCATTGCTTCATTACAAGTGCTGGTCATAGTTTATAGTATGTGCAGTGTGACACTGAGTTCAGTCCAGTGTTACGAATCACTCAGTACAAAGGCAGTTTAACAATAACCTGCTTCTTCTTATTCAAATGAATCTATCTGGGTTTGATTGGTCCTCCTTGGGCAGGTGCCAGGATATGCTCTGATGCTGCGTTCACGTCATAATGGGTTAACCATAAATATGAGCTGCTGAATGTGGGAAAAAAAACAAATATGGTAAGTGTTTCAATTTAATACTTTTTTGTTTAATTTGGATGTGGGCCTTCCAGTCAATTGATCCTTGCATTTAAACTCTTGCAAAAAATTGTCATCCACTCTGTATCACATGGCATGAACCCAGCATGAGCCACGTATAGATATATATGGTGCATTTGAGGTAACTGGGAAGTTTCTGACATCTGAGCCAAAGGAATAAATGAGAAGACAGTGTTGGTACCAGAGCCAGGACTTTGGAAAACTCTTCTTACGCACCAATAATCACATCAAGAATTATCGTTAGTGTACCATTTAGTCAGATCAGAAGCCACGCCCAGGTGCTGCACCCTGGTCTCACACCTGGAATTAGTCCTGCCCAAAGAGAAAGACACGCCCCCCTTTATGGGCATGCAAGTGTGAAGTCGGTGGGGAGGAAAAGAGGAATATGAAGAGAGGGAGGAACGAGGGGAGAGGTGGAGGCATCAGCCTATAAGGAGAGGGGTCAAAGGTCAGAAACACTGAAAAGTGCAGTATTCAGGTCATAAAGGAAAGATAGAGAGGAGCTTTTTATCCGGAAATAATGTTCACTTTACATTTCTTGGAGTAACTGAAACGAGAAGATCAGCAGCAGAGAAAAACATATCAATGATGTCATCTTGGTGTCATGAAGTACCATTAAAGTAAGTGTCACAGCTTTGTACCAGTCATTCCAACATGACCTGAATGCAGCATTAGACTTTTGACCATGTGGGTTTGTTTGGCACTGACCACACTGATAGGAAGAATCAGAGGAACTAGAGAGGTTAAGGTATGGTGCACTGGTGAATGCTTGGGACACACAGACTGCATATGATGCATTTGAATTGTCCTTGTTAATTGGTAAACAATTTATGGTCAGTGTTTAATCAGCAGGATACTGCAACCAACAGTTTCTACTTTTAGTTAATGCTAGGCGTAAACTAAGCTCTTGTCGTGGGCTAAATATCACACAAGGTTTTCTATGTTCCTCAGTGTTGCTCAGACTACATACAGTACATCGAAAGAGAAGCAGTCAAATGATGTCGTTTGATTTACAGCCTTGAAGTGAATTGATATTTTTGACTTTAACAAGCACCTTAACACTGTCATGGTAGAAATACACCAGTTGTATAGTTTATGAGCACCTGAATGCGACACCCTGCTTTCAAGTGATGTCAGGTCAGAGTTTCTCTGAGTTAGGAATATAGTACGGCACGACTCATTCAAGCTCCTGTGTTCACGTTCGTGTGGTTTATGGGTACAAACTGGAAAAAAGATGGAGGCCAAAAAACAAAGCCAGCCTTCGAGACCAGCTGTAAGTATAGTTAGTAATCTTTGGCTACTGAAAGAATGATAATATTCTACATTTTTCTTAGTGTTACCAAATCCTGTGAAAAGACCAAAACCAACATTAAATTATCCCACTGACAATTACTGTGTGTGAATCCAAAGCCTGATATTCCTCCCTGTTGCACTGGGTGACATATTCCTTCACTACCATGAACACACACACACACACACACACACACACACACAGTAGTTTATCAATCTGTTACTAAAAGTAGTCCACAATAAATGCACTATTCCCTTCTGTTGGAGTAACACTGCCCAGCTGTTTTAGGAAATGACTGAGCCTTTAAAAAAGTTGGCGCTATATGTTTCTGACCCGTTTTGAATGAGTAGGTGGTGGAGGTAGGTGGATTTAGTCACCTTTTGGACAGAGCCTGACTAGCTGTTTTTTTCCCCCTGTTTCTAGTGTTTAACATGAGGAGTCAATCTTCTCATCTCACTCTCAGCAAGAAAGTGAATTAAAGTATTTCCTTAAATGTCAAACTATCCCTTTAAAAATGTTCATCTTCAGTAGGAACCAATTGGGTAGTGATTGTGATTGAGAGCCACAGACAAGGTGGGAAAGGGAAACACTAACAAGTTGTTGGTTTCAGTCTTTTGCAGGAATTTTATGACCATATGAAAAATATAGAGTAAAGTCAGCCTTAATCTTTTAATAGTAAAAAAAAAAAAAGAGAAAAAAAGAAAAAGAAAAAAAAAGGATTTTAATTTCGTAATGTAGTATTATGGTGTAAACCTTAAACTCATGTAAATCAAACAGCACTTGAATGCAGGGTTAGCGTAATACTAATACTGCCAGTGTGGCCCACCTCTGATATAACTACAGATCATAAAAGTCATTATGTATTGTATTATAATGATCTTGTTCATATTTCATGTCGGAGCAGACCGTACCAGTGTGGTGAGGGAGGATTTAAGTCCTGCCTCAAGCTGAGCCAATAACCCACTCACAAGAGTTTGATGGCTTTCACTGAGAGTCATGATGAGCTGTAGTATCTCAGTATGGTTTGAAAGTGACAAAAAAACCCAAAACAAAACAAACAAAAAAAAAAACAATACAAAGGATCCTTGTATTTTTTCCTTTTTTGGCAAAAAAAAGTCATATTTACTGTACCGGCACAAACTATATCAGCAGCTTCAAAACGATATCAGCAGCTTGAATCAAAAGATGTCTTTATAATGTCTTTAGTTCATATCTGTCAATGTTGATGATAGGGTCAGTGTTACAGGAGAAGATGTAGTAATACTGCAGGGACGGGTTCTCAAGGAGTATCTGGAAAAAGGACGCCAGAGCAGAGGAAGAAGTAGAAAAAGAAGAATAATAAGAAGAAGAAGAATAAGAAGAAGAAGAAGAAGAATAAGAAGAAGAAGAAGAAGAGAGAGGAGGGGGAGAGAGATGGAGGAAGTAAGGGGAAGTCTCTACATCTCTATATCTACCAGGGAAACATGTTAAACGCACAAAGCAAATGAACAGGAGAGACGAGGGCATGATTACTACTAAGATGATAATATTCAATCAATAATAATAAATAGAATATTAATTAAGAATATTAATAATAATTATCATCAGGATAGTAATAATATTACAGAATAAATCTCATATTTTATATATTTCTTTTCTCTTTTTTTCTCCATTGAAATACAGTGATCTCCTCAGAGCAGACCAATGAGGATTCAGCCTGCGCTGGCTCCAATTGGCTGTTGCATATGACATCACAGCTAATGGTGACCAGGTAGACATGCATCACTTCCTGCCCCCCGCCCATTTCCTGTCCAGACAGGAAGTTCTGGCACTGCCATGGTAACTGTTGGCGACTGACACTGAAGTCTGGGGAGAGAAACAGTTTGAGGGGTCGTTACTGTCTGTGTTTTCCTCACCTTTATGACAAAGTCAAACATATGTACAGGATGAGAGCTTGATGTACCTGCATCATAGCCGTCCGATTACCATGACGTCCACGACCTCTCCCTTATGTAGCTCCACATACTGCTCTGTTTTAGGAGGTAACATCAGCAGGCCGTTGGCGCTACGCATTGACATTAGCCTGCTGGATACCTGGTTGCCTGGAGACACAGGGACAGAGATCATGCATGTGAGTAAGTCGTATACAATGTGTGTGTGTGTGTGTGTGTGTGTGTGTGTGTGTATGTGTGTATGTGTGTGTGTGTGTGTGCGGACCTGTGCTCTGTGCCCAGGGCAGGGGCTCCTGGTGATGCCAGGTGAGAATACAGCGGTGGTACTCTGGTCTGGGATCCAACTTAACATCACAGGAAAGCTGTAATACACACACACACACACACACACACACAAAACGTTACTGAGTTACTAACATGTTAAATACTTATTAAAACCACTGCTTCTCATTTTAAAGAATAGTTTTGAATTTTTTAGGGATTTAACTCATTTCCTTTCTCACTGAGAGTGAGATGAGAAATTCATACCATTCTCATGTCTACACCCTAAATATGAAGCACTTCAATCAAACAATGTATGACATGTTGATTAATAGAGCTTCAGAGGTGCTGGTGAGTGGGTTTTGCTCGCTCTTTTTTCCTTCCTGTCTTTATGCTAAGCTGACCGTCTGCTGGCTCCTGCTACATATTTACAAGAGTATTACAATTTCTTCTTGTATAGAGCCGAGATAGAGCGTCTAATAATGTGGCTTTAAAATAACATCAACGTCAGAACATTACAAGAAGATCAAACAAGATTCAGGCTTCAACAGCATTTAAGTTACTGTTGAAAATGTATCTGAAATGTGTGTCTCTGTGTGTGTGTATGTGTGTGTGTGTGTGTGTGTGTGTGTGTGTGTGTGTGTGTGTGTGTGTGTGTGTGTCTTACCCTAGCTTTAATAATAGTAGGCCTAGGATCCAGAATGCCTTGCATCTTCCTCAGAGCCGGAATCACAAACAGGTTACATGTCACCACTGCAGACACTGGGTTACCTTTACAACAACACAACACTCGGTTACTAAGGAGGAAAACAACTGAGTTACATAACTAGTAGATAATTACTACAATCTATATATTAGTGCATGTATACAGTGCGCAGTGTGTAATCAGTGTCTGCACTGTCTCTGTTTCCATTCAACATGTTTCTGTACTGTACGTGCCTGATATAACCCAAACAGATCCCGATGCATTTATTGTACTTGGTGAATAAATGTATCTTCAAGTCACAGTCATAACCACTGCTGCAGACCTTGTGCAAAGACAACAGAACTCTGTGTCAGAAAAACCTTCCAATTCAAGAGCATAACAAGGCTGACTGAGCTGCTATTCTTAAGTCTGTTTTGACTACAAATCAATTGTTTCTGTCTGACAGAATTTTTACAAATGTCTTCAGCTCAGTACCACACAGGACAGCAAATATGATCTGAGAGGTGTTTGTAAGTTTAGTATACAAAAAGATAAAAATCATGTTTCCATCGTCAGGGTTAAATTTAAATTTCAAAATGTGTAATTCGCTTTTCAAAAGAATGATCTGTAAAAGCTATTTTTGAGGGTGGTAAATGTGGATGATTTCCTTTTCTCAAATTATGGAACAATGCTAATATACATTTGAAAATGTGTAATTTCCTTTTGGTTCACAGAGCTGTTTCTGAGGGTTACAAGTGTGATTAATTTTCTTTAGTTTTTGGTGGGCAGCTTATATTGATAAGAATGTAGACAGGCATATACAAGCATTTTGCTTCAGCCTGAGCCTGTTCAGTCACTACTTAGACCGCTGACCGTTTTTTTCAGTCTATATTGTTTACTGTATTATGTGTGATGACTGAATAAAAAACTACTACTACTACATACTGTCAGCGTGCTAGTGGAGAGGGACAGATAAATGTTTGTACAGTCAGAGCGATGTGATAGGTGAAAAACATTTGAGGAAGGAGAAGAAATCGGCTTTCACTGTGCATCCTGGATATGCATTTTAATTTAATTGAAGTGTAAACGTACAATAAGCCAAGGTACAAACAAGACTGCTGACTACGTGGAGCTTCCCACTCCTCAGTTTAGCCTTTTCACTGATGAAGAAGAGAAAGCAGAGGAACAAAGGACTGTCTGCAAACCTAACTTATAACAACAATTTCCCATAGCAGTACCAAATACGCCTCTTCTTCTGGTAATTATGAAAGTAGTAACAAAGCAACTATTTGCCCTTCAGGCCGTCCAATTTGGAGATCAGAGAAGAACAAGAAACACAGCTAAAACTTTGGCGTCTCAGCTACACCAGTTTGAGCTCAAGCATACCGAAAAAAATAGGAGCTGGTCAAGACGGTGTCCTGTACATGTACACATCTCTGTGGGTCTAGGTAGCGACGGGTGTTATGGGTAACCGTAGTCCAAAGAGGCTTGCAAGTTGAGTTAAGTTTAGTTGATGACACTAATCCCAAATATGAACAAAAACAAGTTGTGTAGACCTGTGTGACTGTGTAAGTGCCAAAATAATTAAGTGTTTGTGATGGTGCCGATGATTTTGACCCCCTCTTGACCACAGTGTGAATGCAGCATGAAGTGAGTTGTGGATAAGCAGGTAGTGACAGAGATGACTGAGGGTCAGCTCACAAGGACGAGGACCAGGACAAGTGGCTGAAGAATATTCCAGGTTACAGTCAGTATGGGAATCACAATGTTTTCATTCAGCATATTTTCAATCAGCTGAGGGTCAAAGTTTTGGTGACGGACTTGGGCAGGGAGGGTTGACGAGTGTCCTGTAGGCAGTGATTTGTATGGCGGTACATTTGAGGTCATTTCTGGTGTGTGTCAATTTTGTTTTGCAGGGTATTAGTTTATTTCAGTGACAACTCAAGTTTTATCACAGAAATATCTGCTGTCACACACCAGTGAGTCGGCCATAATGTGCCGTACTGTTTGGGGTAGAGGTAATTCAGAAAGGCATCTGGGAATCAAAGTTAGGATGTCTTTCTTCCAAGCAGGATGAAAGGGGATCTGTGCGGTCAGAGGTTGATTATGGGTCATTTTGGGTTCAGGACCTACTTCCTCTAGGTGCAGGGCTTTGTGGCTGTCTGCCCTCGGTCTCACTCGGGGCCACGACCTCCAGCAGGGAGGGCCCAGTTTCTCTGAAGCTGAAGTTTCCTTTAATAACAACAGCAATACATATACAATGCTAGACTGGAGCACAGACCAACACACTCCACATTACAAGGCCACAGGACATACTACACTCTAGGATTCCAGCAACACAGTTTTAATCAGCACAACACACAGACTGGGGTTTCTATAGGGGCTTTTTAAACCAGTGATTCTTGCAGATATTCAATAATTTAAATTTCATTCAACACTGCATACTAATCACTTAACTGTAGCAGCTCTTTAAAGGACAGTTCTACCCATTTCTAACCCGTTATTTACCATGTTATCAGTTGGTCCAAACAAAATCAATATCAGTTGCTTCACTGTAGAGCAGAGGTTTTTAAACTGGGTGAAGGAGAGTTGCAGGGAGGGACACGGAGGGAGGGGCAAAGGGCAGATACACTACAAGAGGTGAAAAGGACAGTGCTGCAGTCGAAAAGTCTTTTTTTCTTATGATGGTTGAAACTGAGTGAAATGAGCTGGAGTGTCTGAGCAGCATCATGATCAGAGCTGCTCCACTTCTCTACATGAGGAGGAAAGGAGCTTCAGTGCTTCCTATCTCATCTCCTTCAGCATAGGAAACACTGGAGCTTCCTTTACCAAAGGAAAGGAGAAATGCCGTCCCACAATTCCTTGCTGCAGCAACATTTAAAGCGACGCACCATTGTAGTTTCACCACAGCAGAGCCACATACATGTAGAAACAACAGAGAAACAGTTTAATGTTTGTGACTGGATCCAGAACTGAAGGAAATCCCTGTCTGATCCACTGAAGCCCAAATCCATGAATATAGATTTCTTCTCTTTAAATCCAGTCAGGAGTCGTCATGGAGAACAAGCAGCTTGACTTTATAGTCAACAATATCATCATCATAACAAAATACTACAGCCTATACATAAATGTTGTTGCACTAAATCCCCTCCCATTGTGTCGAACACTAGAAATAGTTTTCTCTACTTAACAAATGTAGAAATGTCAAAGCGCCGATGACAGGAAACTATAAACTTATGTCTGAATGTAATTCATTCTGATCTCTTGCTCAGTTCCTTATTTCTATTTAATTATTATTTCAATGGCTCAACTTCCTCCACTTGTGCATTAGTTTCATTTTATTTCCACATTTCAGTCCTGTTTGTTTTGTTTTTGTGGTTAGAAAAGGAGGATTTATCGTCCATGTGTAAATAAAGTTAGTTTAAAAAAAAAATCTCTCCTTGACCTTGTGACATTTTCCATCAAAGTCAAGGAAAAGTGCTTAGAAAAGGAGATTATTTTGACTTTTCGACCTCAGCCCTGGTGTCCTGAAAACAGGACCTTACCACGACACAGTTACCAAGGGTCATGAAGTTACTTGGAGTCATAAAATGAGGTGATTTTTTTTTTTGAGCAATGTGACAACTAAACTAAAAAAAAGTATTGATGAAATGTTAGGAACTTTATACATCAAGTTCAGTTTTACTTGGCTCAAGTGACTCACCATGGCCCCAGTGTGTGATTTGTAAAGGATGCAACCTGCAACTTTAAGCACGAGTTAGCATGTAAACCTCCAGGTCTATTCAGATGGAGACTGGGTGGCGTTTATGTCGTAGTTCAGCAAGATTCACCTGAAGGTAACCCTAATCAAGCTGCACTGTGTATTACAAAGGCACATTAGATGCACACCACTGGGGAAACATTCATAAAGATATAACAAACATGGTGATAGCACAGTGTTACTGTGTGTGTGCGTGTGTGTGTGCATGTCACACACCTGCTATAGAGCTTCCAGAGAGTCACTTGAAATGTTGCATGTCTCTCCAACTGAGAGTAAAGAGCAACACACACTGGCAATACACATATATGATGCACATTAACACAGCTGAGCCTCCTGTTTTTCTGTGCAAGTCCACACACCGGTGGCATCTTGACCCAGTGGGTTATGCTGCTGTGATTTCTCAGTGTCAATGTGCGTCAACGCTCCAGAGAAGTAATCACATAAGATCCACGGTCAGGCACATCCAGGCTACTGTATGAACTCTGAGTGTGAAGAGCATGCAGTGTGTGTTAAGCGATGCATACACAACGCAGGATCAAAACGGTAAATGAACTGCACTGATGTAGAGCTATTCTAGTCTTACTGACCACTCAAAGTGCTTTACAATACATCCCACATTCACACACACATTCAAACACATACGTACTGTAGGAGCCGCAGATCGAAGCACCGGCCTTCTGATTAGTGGACAACCCGCTCTACCTCCTGAGCCTCAGTCGCCTTAAACTGGTATTTAGGTCGAAATATGCTGAAAAAGACCTACAGTCAATGTTTTTTTTTTTTTGTTTTGTTTTTTTTTTTAAATTGTATTCAAAAATGAACCAACTGACCAGATTAGACCTGAATTTACTTGTATGTCAGAAAATGATCAAGAGACACAAAGGAAGAATTTTCTTTCTTGTAAAGTTACGACTTTATTCTCATATACTGGAGGTCTAGCTGCCTCCATGCTATGACAACGTTCATCCAGAACAACAGGACCATCACTCCACTGACTCCCGCCTCTGCCTTGGCATTGCCTCACTGTGGCCAATGAAATTCAAGCTGCAACTGTCATCAGTACGTGCATGTCTGTTACCAAGTGCTTCAGGCTTTAAACTGCTGTTATTGATTTATTTGTAGCAGCCAGTCACAATTACCTGTCATATATTTATTTTCTATTTATCATTTATGGTTGCACTGCTTCTCTGTCCTCTGCTCTCTAGTGGTGGCGGGGCTGCAGGTACACACACACGCACACACACGCACGCGCGTACACGCGCACACACACACACACACACACAGTGAACAGCAGAGCAGAGGCTGTGCTGGACACAGAACCAGGTAAAGAAAAGATAACTGAAGATTACTGGAGTTACTGGAGACAACTATCACTGTACTGAACTTTACTGTAAGTGCAATAAAAGGTAAAAGGCCAATAAGAACTTCATCCAATCATCTGTTCAACAAGCAACAAACACAAAAGAGATATTTTCATCTATTTCCTCCGCCGAGTCCCGCTGTCTTTTACACAACAACATGGCGCTGGTCAGGCTAATAACGAACTGTTAGCAAATGCTACAACGACAGCTATCTGTGAATCTTAAAACGTGGCAGACTGTTGTAAACTGAGCGACTGGCTGAAACAAACCAGAGCAATCAATTCAGATCCTGTTCTGAATTTACTCTTTTTTTTAAAAATAAAGAACCATTAATAGTCTGAGCTGGATCAATAAGTGTATGGATAAGATTAAGATAAGATCAGCTGGTTAGCGTCTGACTTTGGGAGGATGAGCACATCACAGTTCAAATCCCTTCACTTTAAGTCTTGTTTAACCAGTGTTATTTTGTGATTATTATTATTTTTTACGGCGCAGTAAGATCAGTCACAAACATGAAGGATTACTTCATGTGTAAGTGTCTGTTCATTAGTAGACAAGCTTTTTAATATCTTTGGTCCTTGTAGCTGATAAATTTAGATCATTTAGATTTTCTGGAGGAAAATGAATCGTTTAGATTAATCGACTAATCGATAAAATAGTCGATAGATTAATCGATAGAAAAACAGTCATTAGTGGCAGCCCTAGCCTGGATCATCACATACTGTACATGATTTTTAAACAACCATGGTTATTTGCACACAAACTGCATCTTGTCATGTGCTATCATTGTCCTTTGCTCCTCTTCTACAGTGTACCTACTGTTCTGGTGCCAGATTGTAGCTCTCATATAGTGAATGGGACACGACATGAATAATCTTAGTGGGTGTTGAACCAGAGAAACACTGATCAGAGAGGGTCCAGGTGATACCACAACAAAGAGACAACACCCAGACAACACAGTTACTTCACACGTAGTACCTGGCAGAGCAAAGATGAGTTTCCGTGCGCCATCAATGTCAACTGTGGCAAAGGTAGTAGGAAGACTGAGGAACAGAAACACACAGGTCAATTGTTTCACCTTCAGTAGCTGTGATGGTATGGAGGACCAGGGATGTCACAGGAAAGCATTTCATCTTTTAATAGGCGTTAAAAATAGAAATTGTAAAAGAATTTATAAGTGAACGTTTTATCTATCAGTAAATACATTTAATACATTTTTGATGGCATTTTAAACATGGGAATAAATAACTGGACACTCTTCTGTGACACTCTGGACCTTCAGTGGTAAAACCAGGCTAAACAATCCCAACTGGCCATGGGATGTAACAAGCTCTCTGACGGGTTGGAGAGCTAACCTAGTAGGTTTCACCAGCACTGAAGGCCAGAGTGTCAGGAAGCCAATGGATCAGGCAATAGGAAAAGTAAAATCAGCTGGAAAAAGGAAATGGAAATTGAAGAGGAAATCCAGGAAAGTTTTTCAAATTCTACTATTTATTCATGAATCAATACATGTATGTATAAATGGTTTATTTAATGAGTTTTTGTGAATACATTTTTAAATCACAAGAATTTATGGATGGATTAATTGTTCATTTATAAATTCTTTTTACAATTCCTATTTTTAATGCCAATTAAAATATCAAATTAAGGAAATGCTTTATTACTTATACTGTGACATCCCTGGTCCTCCACATCAGTAATAGTGCTTCTATCATCAATATTAGCAGAAGCAGTAGTAGTACTGTTATCAGCAGTGATACTGTGATAGTATCAATATAATTTGTAGTAAAGGTAACAGGAACAGTACAACAAAATTGTGGCAGTTGAAATAATAGTAATAGCAGCGGCAGAAGTAGTGTTAGTAGTACTAATAGCAGTGGTAGTATAAGCAGTTCTCACAGTTGCAGAGACAGTAGTAGTAGTGGCAGTAGTAGAGGTATAATGAGCAGAAGCAGTAGTAGTAGTGAAATCAGAGCCATAAGCAGTATGAACAATATGAACAGGGAAGAGGATAAATCTTATTTCTCACCAGAAACCAAAACCCATGTTTCCCTCATTTTAAACATCTTACCCTGGCTTCATGAAGACTCGTCCAAAGTGGATCTGAGCATGAAGATCAATATCCAGCACCTGCTTTAGGTAGTCCTGATAGGCACACAAACACAGACACATGTCAAACTGTTTTCAGAAACAGAAACAAAAACACAGAATTAACAAAAAAAAAAAATGAACACAATACTGTGAAAAAGAAAATCTGGTATTTCCTCATTCAATATCAGAACATCTGCTCAACATGTCAGTGAATTCTTTAGTTAGTTAGAAGAGGTGGGTTATTAGTTAGTGATACCTTCTCGCCCATGGACACACCTCCTGAGGTGATGATTACATCGGCACGACTGATTCCCTCATGGAGAGCTGACAGCAGGTCATCAGGGCTGCAGACAAAAGCGTGAAACATCAAACTCACGGGGGGCTGCTACTCAGCTGTATGATGTCTAAGAGAACAACCCTGGTGATGTCGCAGTGATGTCATCAGGGTTATGTTGGATTGGGCTTGAAAACTACACATTACTGATGGAAGAGACGTGGGCATTTACCAGACAAGACTTGAAAAGACGTCTATCAAGTGGCATTATGGGAAAGTGCAGGATCCAGCCATGGTAGGGACAACTAGTCTGGATATCTCTGCATCTGCTGCTTCTGTTTCGACCCTTGTTTTTATCATTACTTCTAAATTTAAGTCTCTTGTTGGTCATCCAGCTTCATGGATTAGCTTTTTTAAATTGCATAAGAATCATTTTAAATAGACTGACATCAACTGGTAAGACTAGTCAAAAAAGAAATATTAAACATTTAAAATTTTGTCCTAATTTCTGTGTGAAGTCTTGAATTCTGGCTAAAAACTTTTTTGTGAGGTCACTGTGACCTTTGACCTTTGACCACCAAAATCTAATCAGTTTGTCCTTGAGTCCAGGTGAAGATTTGTGCCAAATTTGTAGAACTTCCTGCAAGGTGTTACTGAGATATCACATTCACAAGGCCAAAACCGTGTTTTGAGAGGTCAGCATTCCCATGACCTTTGACACCCAAAATGTAATCAGTTCATCCTTGAGCCCTAGTGAATGTTTGTACCAAATTTGAAGAAGTTCTGTCTCCGGCTCTGACTGACGCCGGCGCAGAGGCAGAAAAATCTGCCCAATCAAAAGATGAAGAATTTATTTCATTTGGTATAAAATAGTTTTTTCCACTGACTCGTTATTGCTCAGAACTATAAAGGGTTGAAAACTTTTGCCTGAATCTATGTGCTCTGTCACAACATAAAGAATGACAGTAAGAGGTGCAGAGGAATGTCTTACTTGTCTCCAACGATGCCCAGGTTGATGGTGGGGTATCCATGCTCCTGGATGGTGGCCAGAAGAGTGGAGCGGTTAGAGTCTCTGATCTTCCCTGGGTGGAGGTCATCCTCTGGATTCAACAGCTGCACACACACACACACACACGCGCGCACACGCACAAATTCAACTGGCATCTTGATTCAATATAAAACCAAAAAGTCTAAATGCAGTTATTAAAAGAAAAGTCTGTGAGTGTATTTGCGTTTGTTTTTGTGTATGTACCTCATTTCCAGTGGACATGACGGCCACCACAGGAAACTTGTGCACGCTGACCTCAGTCACTCCGACTGTAGCCAGCAGGCCGATCTCTGATGGGCCCATGTGTGTTCCTTTAGCCAACACACACTCCCCTCGCCTGATGTCATGACCTATTGGCCTGTGCGCACACGCAAACACGTTACATTCATAATCAACGGACGGCAGCTTCTAAAGAAATGAGCGACCACTTGGTTCTTTTTTCTTTTACCTGATGTCCTGTCCGGGCCGGGCCTGGACCATAATCCTCACCTCCAGCTCCTCTGTGCCCTGCAACAGACACGTTGTCAGTGTCACCTGCTGAACAAAACACAGACTGTCCATGCAGTGATCAAGACAGCATCCTAAGTGGTGTAGTTACATCCGCAGACTCCCTTAGCAGCTCAGTGTCTTCAACTTGGACCACAGCGTCGGCTCCACAAGGAATCGGAGCCCCAGTCGTCACCCTCAACACCTGACCTGGCATCACTGTGTGGGTGGGCTGCATACACACACAGACAAAGATTATTGAGTCTGATGGCTGTCAATGCATTTCAGTCATGTATATTTACTTCAGAAGTCATAGTGGAACCTAGTGCATGGTAAAATATCGACACGACACAATGGGATAATAAGGAGCAGTAGTAGCAGTATTAGTAGCAGATGTGGCAGTAAAGTTATCACTGAAAGTAGCACTAGTGGTAGTAATGGTCATAGCTTCAGGCCGTAGTAACCATAGACACCACACTGATCGTACAGGAGGAGCTGCAGTTTTTCTGGATAAAAAGCTCTATAACATTTATACTGAAATATTGCAAATCAAAGTGGAAAAAATAGAGTGTTGAAATTGTAGAATAAACTCCCTAAGTAAGAAGAGGGTCAGGATGTATGTGCCTGTGCCTGGTTTTTGATAGCTCTAAGCATGGATATGCATTTCCATCCACAACTGAAAGAGCCCGTTGGATCTTCAGCACCAGGCGAAGCATGAACTCAAGCAAACTGAGAACATTGATTTTGAGGGTTTTGGACTGTAGATATAAGGATCCTGACGGCTGCCAGTGCTAAATGGAATCAGACATTCAAAGACAAAATCCCCAGTTTCCTTCCAGATCTGTCTGTTGAAACCTGCAAGAGGCAACAAAGCTACAGTGAAGTGCATCAGGCGCTGCAGGATAAAGGCATCATTGAGCACAGAATGCTGTTCCCGACTCAACTTCGAGTTATGCATGGAGACTGAGCATATACATTTTATAATCTTGTTTTATAGAAAGTCTGAACTCGTTGCTTTTCGGTTGGATGGACTCTGCTGGGGGGGGCATGGGAAGGTTCTTCCCCACTGAATGGATCGACCGTGAAGCTAGCCCAGGAGGAACGTACTCAGGCTGATTTGACTATTTATTTCTAAGAATAACCTAATAATTCTTGCATAGTTATGATGTAAGTTTTACTGAGGTTTGTGATCCAATTTAGGTTAAAAATACAGCCAGAAAAATGTATCCTAAAGCCACCATCTGCCTCTGGGTGCAGATCTGTAGAGCTGTGTCTTCGCGTCTTGTCACTTTGCATCTTCCATAGAACAACAACAGGATTTTCTGGAGAAGCTCTCTCCATGTGTTGAATCGATGTTGTCATGCTTAAATGTGAGTGGAGTGAGCTGATTAAGAACAGTGACACCAGTGATGTAACTGGTTTAGAGCAGTTTTGCACCATCAGGACAAGCAAGGCGAGTAGTGCTCGACCAGCTAAAGCTAAAAATAGACTTATCAATTAGAAAGACACCAAAGTGGAAGCGATATCTCTCCTCACATCTCAAAACAGCATTCTGTCCCATAAAGCATTGCATTCATCTCGCAATTTACAGTCCTCTTGTGGCCACAGGAGGCTGTTGTCTCTGGAGGGTTGACTATCAGCCGTTGCATCTATTATTGCTGTCATTTTTGTGGATGTGGTCGTGACAGAGGCTGCGGTTTGCCAAGCAGAGAGGGGAACACCATTTTATGGAAATCTGATCACGGTGAATAATCCTGGGATCTTTGATGAGTGACTAGCCAGAGCTAGCTCCAGACAAATGTGCCTGTCAAGCTGCCCCTTGACTCAGCCTCCACCGTTCTGAGATCAGTTATTGTATTGCATGCATTGTTATAACCATGCGCAGATGCATGTGGAAACTACGGAAGCCAAGAAAGGCCATACTCAAAAATATTTTTTTATCCCCTTATCTCGAGATAACAAGATAATTAATGCCTCATTTCGAAATAACAAAGCTTGTTTTCTCCTATAATGACTTCGTTGATCAGAGATCAGATGCAGATGGAAACTTCTGGAGCTGTAAAGTGAAAATGTCAGGACGACATATTGATCAACGCATCACAGAATATTTCAATCAAAGGCACGAATCACACTGTGTCTTTCCATACAAGGTCATTTTCAGATCGTCGTCAGCTAACGAGTTACTAAGGATTGTTGCTAAGGTTAGGGTTACTGTGACTTAGTATATGAGGTTTAGTCAAACTCATTTTGTTAATATCTCGTTATCTTGGGAGAACGAGCTTTGTTATCTTAAGAAAACGGGATAAAAAAATATTTGCGAGTATGGCCTTTCTCAGCTTCCGTAGGAAACCGTACTTGCACGTTAGAAAATGACTTCGACAGTCTTTTCTTCCAAAGAGTTAAGAGGTAACCGTAAAGAGTGAACAAGCAAACTACAATGTGATTTATCATCTCAAATGAGTAAGTTGTTATACTGCCCTGGTCATAAGACAACCTGGTCTGTCTAGACTTTTTGTTAATTACATCACCTTGATGTTTCATATTCACATATCTGCAGCTGACCATGTAGCATAAAACCCAAGCCTTTTCATTTTTTCTGCTTTTTTGTTATCATATGAATGTGTGCACTTGGTTCTAATAAAGGTATAGAGAGTATTTATTAATCACCACAACTTTTGAACTATATTCAACCTCATGCAGCTCTCTTCTGCTTTCTGTTGCTGCATATACATGAACCAAAATGGCAGGTGTGCCAAACAGTCACACATCCAAGACATCGGTATTGTGTTTGCACCATTAAAATAGGACCTGTAGTATTTCTAAAAACAGCATTAGAATTAGTAATAGTAGTGCTTCTGCTCGTGAAGGTAGTATATTTATTCAGTATTGTTACTTTCAGTCTTTGTGGTAATGGTCAGACTTAAGTTACTGGTAATGTTTATCTGAGTAGAGGTGCTAACAGTTGTGTTGTTGACAGTTTGAGTAGCTGCATTTCTAAATGAATGGTTCCAAGGGGGTATTCCATCAACGCTTACTTGAAAAAGCCGGTTTGAATTAACGTGGACTTTCACTTTAGACTCAAGCTGTTCCATTAACAAAATTTAGCCGAGCCTAGCCTAGTCAGGCTTGAACAAGCTGCAAAATGCGCACGCACGGACTATACAAGCAGCCCAGAACGGTCGATTGTCGGAAAGAAGATCATGTCACAGAAAGAAGAGAAAACAAGAGTCGCTTTCGCAATAAGACACTTGATGGAACTTTCTTTTGAGATTCTGTTTCCGGTTGGAAAATTAATTGAAACACAGCTAAGTTAAGCTTGACAGTTAGCATGCTATGGGGCAGGCTAGTTCTGCAGTATTGGTTACCATGGTTACTGAGCAGGGAATCCTATAAGCAACAGTGATGGAACAGAACTCTGACTTCTATTAGTGAGACTTAACAAAATAAGCCAGAATTTTCCTTTATCTGCCTTGATGGAACAGGGCTCAGGTACTAAATGCCATTCAGGATTTTATCTCTACAGTGGTGTTAGTGTATTAGAGCTGACCTGTTGTCCAGCCTGTGATTCTCCCATGATGAAGCGATCTCCTGGGCCATCAGCAGCTACAGGTCAATGATAATGATGTTAATCAAGTTAATTATGGACAATAGACCATGACTTCTGATTTCTAATCTTCAAGAGGCAGCCATGGTGACAGTTTATAAACATCCATTAAATGCCAAAAAGTGAATAAACATAAATGAATAGATTAATGCATATGTTTAACGGGATTTTCATGGATCCTGTTTTACATTTGTGTCTCTGATGTGATGTTTATCGGTTGTAAAATATCGGACAATATTAGTGGTCTCACCTCGTACAGCGTAGCCATCTTTAACGGAGGCGGGGAACGGAGGAAGGTTGTCTTTGGCGTAGATGTCCTGAGCGAGCACCCGACCTAAACCGTCTGCAGAGAACAAGCCAAACCAGTTAGATTGTGTTCCAACCGTATTGTGACAATACAGATTTCATTAGATACACAGTAATAATGACTATAATCAGTGTATAGTTGACCGTTTGAGCATCAAACTGCAGCAGACTACTGATGCGTTTATATTCTTCTCTGTGTCCTAAAAATAGCACCAGACAACAAAGTCTAACAGCAACAAAGGCAGATTGTTCAATTTAATGCAGTGGTCGTCACTAAAACTTGCAGGAACCATCATAGTCATCCTAGACTCAACCAAGCTTTCAATAAGGCAAACTGGAAGTTTCTATTTGCCGGTGTAAGGTTGGTTAAGGCACAAAAACCAAGGCCAAAACCTGGTTATGCAGTTGAGGGCTGGGGTCAAAAAGTCAAAATAATCTCCTTTCCTAAGCACGTTTCCTTTTGCACTTACACTAAGCTTTTTTTTAAACTAACTTTATCTATATGATCAGTGACCAATCAATCGGGGCATCCCTAATAACAGCTGTAATGAGTTGTTAAGACTGAAAAGACTGACCTCTGTAGTTAATGACTTCAATTCCCAGAATAGGCGTCATCTCTAGAACAGTGATGAAGGCTTTGTCCATTGACGTCAGTGGGAAAGGAGACATGCGATGACGACGTGCCACTTTACTGATGTCCACCGCACTGTGGCCTACACACACACACACACACACACACACGCACACACACGCACACACACACACGCACGCACGCACGCACGCACGCACACACACACACACAAATACAAAATTTAAGAAATTGGGTGAGAGTTAATGCTACTATAAACACTACCATACAGTTTCTAAATTTTCCACAGTGATGCAAGTTGATGTTGCTGGGCTGGCAGGTTAACGACGTATTAGGACTGTCCCTGAGTGAGGATTTTCACAGTCGGCACTTCTAACTGATAAATCAACTCTGGGGTGGAGGTGGGGGTGGGTTGGTTCGCTGGCTCATGCTATTTTCCTGTTTTTGTACACACTCACGTTTGATTCATGACTCATGTTTTACCTGAAAACTAAAGTTGTAATGTCTGGAATGTGAAAACACCAGATTTCCATGTGTCAACATTAAGTAAAAGTTGGCGTCTTGGTCATGGCTGAAATCATCCTGTTGTCAGTCAGACACTGCAGTAGTACTGCGCGGTCTGGCGTTGCTCTGCCCTCTTTTCCTTTCACCTGTGTCTACTTCCATCACTGTTAGTTTTTTTTGGTTTGGTTCATTTTAAAGACGAGATTCAGTTTACAAGTTTACAGCCTGTCACACTGTTGCTCCTGCCTCGCTCTGTGTGCTGTGGAGCAGCTCAAAAAACATTCAGTCAACTTATAGGGCACACACACACACTCTCTCTCTCTCTCTCTCTCTCTCTCTCTCTCTCTCTCTCTCTCTTCTCTCTCTCTCTCTCTCTCTCTCTCTCTCTCTCTCTCTCTCTCTCTCTCTCTCTCTCTCTGAACTTACTGGCTCTCAGAATGTTCTCATTACTGCCACATCGTGACTGAACCTGCAGAGAGACAAACAGATATTCTATATTTGGTCATATGTAGGAAATGAGTTAAATACTTCTCCTTCATGACAGGACAGTCTGGCAAAAGCTTTCATGTTGATTAGTGTCTAATACACAGGCAGGACATGGACACATAAATAACATGAATTCTAGCTGTGACATTCAAAACCAGCACGACAGCAGGTCTTTGGGTTTTTCTAATTCCCTGATTGCACAGTACAACACAGGATCATTAGAAACAGGAATGAGAGGAATCCTGTTCTTTAATCACACATCAACCCGTGTGTGTTGTCCATCTCTGCTATGACGGAAGTCCCTTTCCTTACAAGCTTTATCAAAACAGTTTGTAAAACCTGCCGTGACATTTGACTTTACTCTACTTCTTCTCACGTTCATTTGTTCTTGACATTAACACGTGATCTGCCAAACGGAGCATCTTTTAAAAACTGCCTCTTTGTCTTCATTTAAATGTAAAACAACTACGCTTACCATTCAATGAAAAACAAATACCACAAATTCTTACACAAAGCCAGTATTCAAATGATGGCAGTGTCAAAGGCCAGCTGACAACAGAGGACAATTCAATACAATGAATACTGAGGATGTGGAAATTCCTGTACTATGTCAACTACTTCAGTAATTTCAGTCAATTTGAGTCATGTCATACTCACTTTGGAGATGTACTTTATCAAGACAACAGGTAAACACGGACAATGTAACAGCAAATTAAAACAGGACAAGAGAAGAAAACAGTTTGGTTTCTTCATTCTGAAAAATACTTATAAAAATGTGAACATAAGAGTGGCATTAGAATTATGACCTGTCTATTATATAAGCATATTTCAAATAAAGGTCTGGATTTCTCTGCAACTGTGGCAAATAAAATGATGTACTAATTTAAAATTTACCTTTGAGACAATTCCGGCATAATTTTGAGAGTTTTTGCAGCTTTTCCTATTAACAATGACATCCATTGATTGGGACAATGTTTTACGTGAATGTACCACAACTGAAGATATTTATATTTCAGTTTTGCCAAACCTCACAGTCCCATTCACTCCCATTCAGTTCCAAACATCACACAAGTCCCAAGACTTTTAATTGGTTAAGTAAAGGACATCCCTCACTGTGAGCAAGAGGCCGACAATCACATTTTGTGGTTCAGGATTGTAACATCCAGCTACTAACTTCTGTGTGCAGTTTCATATTGCTATTGCACGAGTGCCAAATAGAGACAGGCTTGGGTTTGTCACATTTAATAAACCCATCCATAACACTTTTAACTTTTTGTAAGTGACCTCAATTGTTATCCAAACAATTGACCAAACAAATCTCCAAATAATATAAATGAATTGTTGCTTTTTAAGTCAGGAAATCGAATTAGCAATTAGCAATTAGCAATGTCTTCTTTACACTTGTTATAATAAGTGATGAAACATTAGAGAAGGGTTTGGGAATCCAGGAAATAAGCAGAAACTCCAATCATGCAGGAACTGTCCATTATTGGGTTTTTTTTCATTTGCATGTACATATATAGTGGCACGAAAAGGTAAGTGCACCCTTTGGAATTACCTCGATATAGATATGATTTAATTTGTCCTAAAATATCATCAGATCTTCATCCATGGACTGATGAAACTAGGGCTGAATTCTTTAAGAAGAACATGCAGCACTATGTATAGTGTAGGCCAGGGGGTTTCCAAAGTCAAGGCCCCCCTCAACCCACCTTGGTTTACTTGCCTTTTTCATTCAATTCCTGGCTGCCTATAGGATCATGATTATGTTATTTGATCCCATAGACACTCAACAATTGAGCCAAGATAACTTGATACTTTCTGTTTGACATAAACTGAGACTAAACTTAATAAATAAAAAAGGTCTGTCTTAAGGCTTTTATTAATTTCTGAAGATGGGAAAGTGAGAAAAACATTAAAATTCCCTAAAACAGCTGAATCTCTTTAACCAACTCACATTTAGGCTCATTTACCTGATCTCCTTTTGGTAACTAATACAATATTTTTTCCATTCCGTGCACTGAGCCTCCCCTGAAAGAGGTGAAGCAGGGTGGAGGGAGCATCATGATTTGGGGCTGATTTGCTGCCTCTGGTCCTGGACAGCTCCACATCATCGAGGGGGAAATGAATTCCCAGTTTTATAAAGGAATCCTACAGGATCATGTCAGGGTGTCTGTCCTCCTGCTGAAGTTCAAGACAAGCTGCTGATGCAGCACGACAATGACCCTAAACATACAGACGTTTAGGGTCATTGTTCTACTACAGAAGGACATCAGACAAAGAAAATCCTCCTTCTGGAGTGGTCCAGTCAGAGCCCAGACATTAATCCAGTAGAGAGGTTGTGGATGGACCTCAAGATCCTGACAATATGACTGAGCTGAAGCAGCTCTACGAGGAAGAATGATCCAAAGTTACTCTTGAACACTGAGCAGCTCTGATTGACGTTATTGGTGTCAAAGTAGGTTCGGCCAGTTATTACATCCAAGGGTTCACTTACTTTTTCCACCAGCACTGTGAATGATTAATGGCTGTGTTCAATAAAGACACAAAAGATTTTAATTGCTGAGCTTAGGGACACTGTTTGTGTAATTTTCAGGACTTCTGATTTGTTAGTGCTGTTAGTGTGTGTGCGTGAACAAAGGTTAGGGTGTACCTTGGGTGTCGGGCATGACGCGGTGGAAAGGCGGGAGGTTGCCTGTGTTGCCCGTGGTGACTCGGAAGGGGTGGAGCTTAAAGAGGCCGAATCTCGAGGAAGCACCTGAATGCCCCGAGAAATGATCGAGTCCGGGATCTACATACACCCACGTGCGCGCAAACACGCACATACACACACACACACACACACACACGCACACGCACACTTAATTCTACTGAAAGAAGTTCCTTCAGTTGTTTTACTGTCAGCTAAAGTAGACACTTTTTTTTGAATGCAAATGATGCAAGTTTCACCTCTAATTTGGTGAAGCAGAAAAACCAAATGTTGGAATGGTAGCCTATATGTTTCTTTTGCATACATGTCCACAGGTTTTGAGAACACAGACACTAAAATCATCTGTCTCCCTGAAAGATGACTGGTCCTGATGCTTCAGCTAACACTTAAGCATTTTACTTAGTAGCAACAGTAACAGTGATGGTGCTGACAAATCTGCTGACTTCATTTGATTTCATCACTTATGAGAGCATGGGTAAACAAACTATAGTTATAGTAGGTAGCCGGCCTGTGTTACTTTAAATTTATATCCTCACAGTATATTGTGAATAATCTGTATACTGCTTGCCCTCATAATCAAATGTGATTCAACTCCAGTACACGACACTGGGATAGTAAGTATTTGAGTTCAAGTTATTATCAGTTAAATATTAATATATATGTATATATATTATAGTTTTTGTGGGGGCACAGTAATGATGTTAGCATGTCTTTCAACTGTTGGCTCTTCTCAGTGATAGGGACCGGGAACTTCATGTGATATAAGAATTAAAAACCAGACCTGAAGCCAGTGGCTGTCTGGGAGGTAGAAAATCCTTTGAGTTTATGGTTTGCTTTGGAAAATTGTCAGAATACACTATTTTCCTGGGTTGCAATTAAATGGCAAACACATGCAAAACCACCTCAATGAGGGAAATATTTAAAAAATTCTAGCTGATTTAGACAAGATTATTTGTAGAGGAACTACATGAGGGTCAACCATTGGTTGACAGTGAGACGGAAAGTAATCTGGTCATGCATACTACAGCATGCCGCATGTTTAAGATATATGAGTGATTTTAGTTTATATACCAACAGGACAAATTACACAATATCTGTTATTTTTAACACGTAGAAGCTTTTTCCCAGATGTTTTGCTGTAAGGAAAATAACCATCACACTTACAAACTGCTGCTTTCAACCACTAAGTTTAGGGCCCCATTCTTTATATCTACCTTAAATAATCTAGGCAAACATGATGTTAGCAAGCTAAAACAATTCTGTTATAGCCATGATTGGCACTTTTATACTGCAACTTGCATAGTAGTTATCTTAAGAGTGAAGAAACTACTGTACATTTACTTCTGATGCAAGTACATTTCATCCATTTTGAGTGTTTAAAGCTGCATCATTTGATTTTTGGAGCCACCTGAGGTCAGTGTGCGCCTATTCATATCAAGCTGACATACAGAAATATTAGTATCTATTTCGAGTCCTGTTTCTGGTGACCTAAAGAATTTAAGACCAATGTTCACTCTTCTTATAGCTCTGTTTTGGTCTCCATCTACAGTCAACTTCAGAAAACATGTGTAAAGTGTAATCAAAGCTTTTTCGACAGTCTTCTGATGCTGGAAATGAGACAGATGAACCAAAACACTAAAGCTGTGAGATCAAAACAATGACCTGAAAGATGGTAAAGCTCTACAGAGCTGAAGGAAACAACAAAGTTGGGGGTTAATTATCTGTAGGTTCATCACTACATGCAACCAACCACATTTAACATGAGCTCATTTGATCAATTGTTAATATTAAGATATTGATTAAGTGCACATTTAAGTGTACAAATTACACTTACTACTGTATATTTCAGCATGTAAAAGTACAATGGAGTATTAGGGCCACATTGAGGAAAAAAAAAATCTGAAATTTCGAGAATAAAGTCATAATATTACAAGAATAAAGTCAGAATTTTATGAGAATAAAGTTGTAATTTTAGGTTGCGTGTTGTTTTAGAGGGAAATATCAGAAGCTTTAAAATGGGGAACGTGGAGCATCCTGTGAAAATCATCATCATCATCATCATCATCATCATCAGGACACATGAAAGATCGTGAAGGAACTGAGTCTATTCTATGGTTAAACTGACAAACAGCAGCTGCCAGAAGCAGCTCAGGCTGACACTGACTGTTCTTTCGTCTGTTTGATTGGTCACTATTCCTAAAAATTGTTTTTTTTTTCATTCAAAATTTTTAATTTTCAATTCTCGTAATATTACGACTTCATTCTTGAAATTTCATATTTCTTTTTCTCCTCAATCTGGCCCTAATATTCCGTCATATAAAAGGTATTTAACATTTAGTGATTGTTAGAATTACTCAGTTTTCTCAATAACCTAGATGCTCTCATCTGAAACCATAATCATATCAACATTTATATATTGGTGGCCCTTGAATAAAGAAGATATTGCCTCATATCTGAAAATGTTAAGTTAGTGTATGGGCTTCATCTTGAAAAGGCTTTGTGGGCCCAAGAGTGTGTGGTACTGACAGACATGATCAACTGATCAATGGCAGGAGGAGGATGGTTTGTGTGTGAGCGTCTCACCTGCTGGGCATGAGTACAGGAACAGGTGTAATGAGTGGGTGGGGTGGGTGTGCTGCCAGGCAGATAGGGACCCCCTTTAGCCATGACCACAGCATGGCTTGTCTGATGGACACACACATGCGTGCGGGCACACACAAACACAAACACACACACAGACAGACAGACAGACAGATGCAAGCCGGCATACACAGACAAGTGAATGAGATGAAATGGTGTGTAATTACAAAAAACATTCACATTTTAATGAAATACCAGCTGCTCCTTTAGATGCTTGTAGCTATTATCTAAACTGTGGATCCTCCTGTCTCAAACAACATCTATACATGTTCTATAAATCAAGATCCCAATTACTCCAGGTGTCAACATTTGATCTGTACCTGAATTTGTTAACTTGATAATGACATGTCATCAACGGACTTTGCATTTATACCTGGTAATAATGAGCATTGTCATAATGTAAATTCAGCCAGCATTGAATTGGACGTCAATATGCAGATGGTGCAGGCAGAGCTGCAGATTTGTCATCAATCAAAGTGTATGCCACATCAAGAGAATAATGTGGGTTACTCTTGAAGGACTGACACAGCATGCAGATCAAGCCTCTCCTCAGCACCTAAAGGACTGTCAGAGTGTGAGGAACAAGATTCTCTGGTCTGATGAAACCAAGATTCATCCGTTTAGCCTCAATTCTAAAAACAGGTTTTCCTTCTGGAAGTCTCTCCCATCTCCACACAGGATCTCTGGAGCTCATCGGGTTCTTGGTCACCTCTGAAACCAAGGCTCTTCTCATCTGTCTGTTCAGTGTCACTGGGCGGCTAGTTGTAGGAAGAGTCCTGGTTGTTCCAAGCTTCTTCCATTTAAGAATAATGAAGACCACTGTTCTCCTCAGGAACCTTCAATGCAGCAGAAATGTTTCTGAGCCTCGACACAGTCCTGTCTCTGCGCTCTGCAGCAGCTCCATCACCTCATGGTTTCTGCTCTGATCTGCATTGTCAGCTGTGAGACCTTATATAGACTGGTGTGTGTGTTTACACATCATGTCCAATCAGCTGAGTTTTGTGTTTAGGTGGACTCCAATCAAGGTGAGGAAACATCTCAGAGTAATAGAGTAATAGCAAAGTGTCTGAATACTAAAGTTAATGTGATATTTCAGTTTTTACTTTTTCATAAATTTGCGAAAAATTCTAAAATTCTGTTTTGGGTTTGTCATTACGGAGGATTGAGCGTAGACTGATGAGGGGGAGATTCATTTAAATGATTCCAGCATGAGGCTGCAACATAACAAAATGTGAAAAAAAATGGAAGGGGTCTGAAGACTTTCTGAATGCACTGCACATGGTCATCGCAAGAGTACCCAAGAGTACAGCAGGGTCATCAGATACATTATCAAAATTTATCACCACCCAATGTGACATCAGCTGGCAAAGTGCTCTGTTGTCTGCCAATAATAAGCCTGTAAAACCTATGCAAATACAAAATAACAGCATATCTCTACTATTCATCTGGAAGCATGACAGTAGATTTTTACTAGGGGTGTAACAGTTCACATATTTGTCGTTCGGTACAGGATGTCCGGTTTGGTTCGCGTTGTGATCCAAATGAATATAATTTATCTTTAACCATGAACATTACTTGCATAACCATAAAGTGCCATAAAGGCTTAGTCCTAACCACAGCAGCCTAGGTTCTCTCTCTCTCTCTCCCTGACTTTCCTGTCTCTCTCTCACTGTGACCATCAGAATAAATGCAAAAATAACACAATAATACATTAATCTTTCTGAAAAAAAACCCCCAAAAAACATAAAAATAGAGTGAATGTATCAATAATTTTCTGCATGCTAAACTTTAATGGATCTTTATTTTATTATTATATTATTAATTTCTTATCTGATTGATAAACTTCTGAAGCACTTGAAGTTTTGTTAGTAGATTGCAGCAATATCAATAATACCTTGATGGATTTGGTATGACATAATTCTTTTTAAAGAAATGTACCTTTATGTGCATTTCTTGTGTTTAGGAAACAAGTCACCCAATTTGAAGTTATGGCCAGTTTGCAACCGGGTTACAAGTTTACAACTTTACGATTACACCTTTATGTTGACAAGTTCAATTCATAATAAATTAAAAGATGTTTTTCATGTCTATTTTTCACTGTACTGAAAACATACTCAACCGTGAACTCAAAACTGAGTTATATGCCGGAACGTGAGTTTTGCGAATCGTTACACCCCCAGTTTTTACCATAACTTTTTAGTGCTGCAGAATCCTTTCTCATGGTGCTGTAATCCACTCTGTGTCTCATAAAGATACAATTACCAGGTGTAAATAGGTCTAGATGTCATGTGAAAGGGTCTCAATTTAGTTTGCATCACTCTACCTCCCAATCTCCAAGGAAATGTTTCCAAGAATTACTTATATTTATAATATTTCATCAACCAGCATATTTCCTCAGTTTAAATTAGACTAAACTAACATTTTATTTGAAATTTGAAGACAAACATCCTGAAATGCTCTGTTGTCTATCTATTTTATCACTACTAATATGCATTTTCTGCCTATAACATTTGAGTAGTATCTATAGTGCAGGAGCTTGCAGCTGCAATGACCCAATTTTCACACAGTAAAGTGATCATTAAAGTTTCATATATCTAGTTTTGAGCAGCGCTGGTTTTCACGTGTCCTGTCGACCAGTTACCTTGGCAGCGATAGCAGCTGCAGTGATGTGGGAAGAGCCATGCTGGGGATGGTGGTGGTTGTGCACATGTTGAACTCTCCTCCGGTCGTCCTCCTCGTCTTCCTCTTCCTCACACTGGGTGCCACGCTCCATGGTGTGGGTGTCGGCGTGAGTGTTGGCGTGCGTGTTGGCCAGCAGAGGGGTAGGGGAGGGCAGCTGCTCCAGGGCGGCGTGTGTGGATTTAACTCTGACCGTGGCCTCTCGCAGCAGGTCGATGGCATGGGGCAGAGCGGGCAAGATGAACTGAAAACACTCCTGGAGAAAACAAGAGAATTTAATTTAAGACCATCTTTAACATTCAACAAGACATAATTTCATCAGTTATGATACAAGTCACTGATGGATATGTCACCTTTTAAACCCCCATAGGCCAAGTAGTATAATTTGAAAACTCTGAAAGACTTGACTGAGATGCATCAAGTCAATATTTAACAAGTGTAATGTGGGTGTGACTTATCTTGAGACTTGTGACTTGTGTATTTTTTGACTGAATCAAGCCATTAAGCCGTGGAAAATAATTCAAACTACAAATTAAGTTTTAAAACAAATTACTAATGGTTCAGAATGAACTCTTAAAACAGGCCCACAGTTACTTGTTTTAATGTTGTGGCTGATTGGTGTATTATTACCTTTGAAAGACAACATTGGCATGCATTTGGAGTCATGTTTGTGTCCACCTGACAAATGTTAAGCCTAATATTCACTCTTCTTTTAGCTCTGCTTGGGTCTCCACCAGCTCCTGAGTAAAATATCTGAGTCTTTAGACGCTAATTGCTCCACTATGGTCACCAGCTGGTTGCTAACTGTGTCTGTCTGTTGTTTGGTGCAGGTGGTAATGGGAATTTAGCACAAGGTCAAGTGTCAAAGAATTGTACCTGAGAGCCCTTCTTGCTCCCTGGCAGGTTGATGATCAAAGTTTTACCACGAATACCACACACCGGCCTGGAAACAGCAGTAGAGAGCAGATTAGAGCAGGAGACGACACCACACACATTAATCTGGTTATGTAGATGTTATGTATGATGTAGGGTACATGTCGAAAAGCAAAAAGAGAGCAAAAAAATGAAGTCTTCACCTGGACAGCATGCCAAGTGGTGTAACGTTGAGTGACCCCATCAGCATGGCCAGAGCCATACCTGGGGCTTCCCGCTCTATCACCTCTCTGGTGGCCTACAACACAAACACAGGGGCTCAGTCAGTTAAGTAATTTCAGGCACTTATTTATCAAGTTTTGGACAGAGCTCGCTTGTTTAGTCTCTAATAGCCCTTTTCCACAGCATGGTATCGGCTAAACTCCGCTCGACTTCACTCACCTTTTCTGGTTTTTCATTGGGCAAAAATTGTGGTTAGTACCTGGTACTTTTTTTGGTATTACCTCCACCGAGGTGCCAAGTGAGCTGAGGTGATACCAAAAGGTGACGTAAAAACACTGGAGGCTAGTGATTGGTCAGAGAAAATCGTCAGTACTGTGTCATCATTAGCTGTGTCCCAATTCAGGGGCCGCATCCTTCAGAGGCGGCATATGAAGACCGACTGAGCCACAGCGGCGCAACTAGACTGTGACCATTTCAAAGGCTCCCTCTGCGGCCGATTAACGTAGTCTTCTGTTCCTGGGCAATGAAGGCTACAACGGTTGGATCCTTCGTGGTCCAACCTATCCCAAGGTTCATTGCGCACCGGTAATGAAAGCACCGTGTCCTCCAAAGGACGCGGCTCCTGAACTGGGACACAGCTACACCGCTAACTTTAGCCTGTTACATTTCTGTTAGTTATTGTGGTCTACTTCTGGTATGGCAACCCGCAAAACCATGCTGTGGTAGTAGACATTTCGTAGACGTTTGGTATCCCTTCGATATCCTTCATTTTTCATGCATTTTTCACGTTGAAGCTGACATCACGATAGCTTCATATGTCCTTGCTATAGTAAGCACGCCACAATAAGGGGGTACTATGTGCAGTGGAAAAAGAAGTACCTGGTTCTACAAGCAAGTAGAGTGGAGTCAAGTTGAGTCGGTGAAAAAGTGCTACAAATTTCTTGTTTTTAATCAGTTACAACTTTTTTTGCATTTATTCATTTTATTTAAACTCTTGCAGTCAGTGTGTGCATGTGTGTACCTCAGGTGTAACATCTCGTGGTGCAAAGCCAGTTCCTCCAGTAGTAAGAATGAGATTCAGCTCCTGTTCATCGCACCACTCCAAAAGAGTTTCCTGTACACATGTAAACACACACAAAGTTAATAACTATACCATGCATCTTCACATGGAATTGTATGGGCCCTACATGTAGCTATAATGGATAAAGACACTTTCCATTCAAACAAAGAACCTGGGTTAAAATTCCAGTGATGACAAATACCGTTCTTGCTCAAGTGTCCTTAAGCATCCATAAAGCCCTTATTGGACATTCACCACCCTATATAACATCTTTACTGGACTGGACCTCAAGACCCAACCAAACTCGCTCTATTAAGTGTCTTATGCTTCAAATCCCACAGGTTTACTCTGAACTGTATCTGTGTTTCTGTTCATTAAAACACATGGAATTATCTACAACTCACTCTCAAGATTGACATACACACTCACAATCTAAGACGATGATCTCAAACCACTTCACCTCAGAGTCTAAATGCTTTCACTAAGTATCATCTTCTTTTGAATTTTTAACTGTGTATTTCTATGTAACTTGACATCATTGCAAATGAGGGAATCCGCAATGATCTTTGAGGCTTAAATAAATAAACGAGAGAGTCGCTGCAAGGTCTAAGGTGATCCTCTGTACCTCAAGGGAGAATTTCCCCATTGGGTTCAACACATTCAGGGACTAGAGGAGCGCTGAATTGAGAAATCATAACTGGCTAAATGTTGGATGATGGACAGATGGCCCCTGCCAACTGCTAAGAAAACTTATGAGCTAGACAGGCAAAGATTCAGGAAGTATGCAGGGAACAATTTGCCACTGTTTTCATTCAGTGTTGTGGCACCAGAGCTTGTATCTGACTTATCAAGTGTCTTTTCTTCTATGACAGATTAAAACATTTTTGAGTACCAATGGGAAAATGTGTTAAGTCCAGTCTGTTTTCACAGCATATTGTTATGTGTCTCAGTGCCTGTGAGTGATATTGTTGAGCTCAAAGCAAAGACACGTACTTTGATTTCATTGATCTCATCTGGAACGATCTTGTAGGCTGATATGACTCCTCCTAGCCTGCAGGAGGTGACAGAGACACAGTTATTGGAATGTGAGCATGTGTGTGTCAGCATGTGTGTGTAGACCATAGACTTTATGTATAGTCTCACAGTGAGGGATCATGGACCAGGTCCTTCAGGTTGACGCCACTCCTGTCCTCAGCCAAGTTCTTGAAGCAGCTGTCACTGACTGAAGAGGAGAGAAGTTCAGGTTACAGAAAAGAACAACAGAGTTGACATCAATGAGGTACTTCAATGAAATTTCACACATATACACTCAATTAATGTTATTAGTCTTTTTATCCAGACTTCTAACTGTTTTTTTGCATCTCTTGTATCTTGCATCTTTTGTGTCTAATTACAACTTGACAAGCCTTTTCTCACTGAATAAAAGCAGTAAATTTTCAAGGGAAACTGGACGGTACTGTTTTCAAAGAGGAAATAGTACATGGACATTATTGTTAAAAAACATTACATGGCGTTATGGTTGTATTCCTGTATTCCTTGATCTCTATTATTCATGATTTACATTTAAATTTAAAAAAACACTTGAATTGCTGACGTAAAAACTTGTAACTGCTTACAAACAGGGTGAAACAGCGAGCATGGCTCTGTCTAAAGGCATGGAAGGTAGAGATTTAACAAAGAATAATTAATGTTTCCATTAGTGAGCTTTAAAGGTGCTGTTATGCCATTTTATTACCTTTGGACAGAGCCAGGCTAGCTGTTAGCCTCAGGTTCTAGTCTTTGTATTATAAAACTGTAAAGAAAGATGGACCTAGCCTCCATGGCTTCACCTACAGGTTTCTGAAGAGCAGTTTTGAAGCTCAGAGTGAGCTGCTCCACCTCTACTATATTGGCAGTGTCTGACTCCGCCCCTAACTCCCAGCTAATCCAAACATGTGCAAAGAAGAGGGGCGCGTGTGGAGCCAAGAGTTTGGTGCATGCCGGTTTGTGGCAAGCATGCGCTCATTCAAATGTCACTCAAAGAGACCACGCCCTCAATTATACATAACTTTAAGCTTTAATAAAATGTAAAGAAATGAGTTATAATCCTTGTCCATGGTTTACAAGGATTGCAAATCATGCAGATATATATTTTTTCAAGTGCAGTTGCTCTATTAATTTGTGCTTTAGTGTATTTTTCTGACTCAGACTTGCCACGGTGTGCTGATTTAATGCAGTGAAAACACCCAAACTCGCCCTATTATATATGTCACCAACTGATATATAAGCTCTCTAGGATAATTAATAATAAAGAAAAGCTAAATTAGGTAAATGTTGTGAAGTCTATTGGCTTTGACACACAAACTTAATTTATTCACGATTTAGTACAAAATATTACCAATTAATTTTACAGCACAACCATTACTGGAGTTTTGAGGCCAATATCAATAATGATATTGGAGAATTAAAAAGAAATTTGACAATATATCTGTCATTATTTTTTTACTTTTAGTTGCATACATTTAGTATGTAACTCAATCAAAAAAATAACAAAATATGGCATTTGATAACATCGTGAAGTAGCATAGGATCATGGGAATTGTTGTCTTCACCACCATTTCTAACAGCTTCTCCAGGTTTCCTTCAGTGTCAGTTGTTCAGGAGGTTTTTTCCTGGAGCCAGATTATCCACAGAGATCTCCTCCTCTCCAAAACAAACAGACCAGGTAATTACCGGTAAAAACACTGAATACAGCAGTTCCATGTTAGAAATCTGTGTTTTACCGACACTGTACCGCGGACATGGGATGTCAGGGAGAGCCTGGGAGCGGAGATTGATGCTAACCTTTGTTTTGATTGTTTCTCTGATAATTTATGAACCAGACATTTGGGAGGTTTTTACTGGCAGCAAAATTATCCACAGAGGTATCCTCCTCTCCATGACAAACAGACCAGAAAAAAAGTTATGTGAAAAATGTGACTTAAAACTGGATAAAAAGCCGATCTTGAGCTTCTGGCAGACAACCACAACACTGACACATGCACATAGGGGATATGATGTCACTGACCGGCGCCCAAATGAAACTGACCGTTACCATGATTAAAATATATAACTATCTATAACTATCTATAAATATCTAGTCATTAGACATTCTTAAAATAAGTGACCAAATTCTGTATTGAGTGGGACATTTTGCAGTTGAAAAATAAACTTGAGTGCTCAGTGGAGGATAAACTTTGTGATGGAGACAGTGTTTCTAAATAACCTTTAAGTATCTTTAATATTTCTGCACTGCTGTTTCTTGTTCATTACAACATACATGCCGATACTGATGTATCTGTGTTAATATCAGTTGATATATCAGCCGGGCCAATTTATTGGTCTCTAATAAAAACCAATATTGGTATCATGTAATGTAATGTAATCGCTGGTACATAAAGTAAGTGCTATGGAGTAATAAACACATATATTATTTTGCAATTTTCTGAGCTCATTTCTGACATTATCAACTAGTAACATTAGAAAACAATTAGCATGTCTGGGCCTATCACACCTGAAACAGGTTTGGCTGGATTATTGCAAAATGGATTGCAACATACCCAGAAGTATATGAAAGAGTGCAATCATTTTTAATTTCATCATTAAGCAGTACGATATGATAATGAGATATTTGCAGCCCTGCTCTATTGGAAACACATGGAACAAGATAACATCATCTAGTATGCAACAAACCAAACCATTACGAGCTGTAACTCACAAATGTCCTGAACCCAATAAAAAACAGGCTCAATAGGGATATTGACGGAAAGAAACTTGCTGTCAGCCAAAATCAAAATTAGCATATCAGAAAAAAAAAAATCACCCCTAAAAATTGCAATCAGTGCATCTTTACTAGCGGGTATTTACGGCAACGGTACAGTGTGTCATCAAAATAACTACAATGGCCTTTACCCTGTGCAACGCTGTGGCTGTCTGGTGTGTTTAACAGTTTTGGTGGATTAAAATATATCAGGCTTTGAATGCATAGACATTTGTTGTTAGAATCAACTGATTGCTGAGTTCAGCCTTATCATGGAATATGTTGACAATAACAAAAATATATATCATATATTATTATTAAGACCTTTCTTTTCATTTAAGGGGTTTCCTCTTTGGACACAGCTCTTTAGTAAAGTGATGATCCGCGTTTGAAGTTTTTCCTAGGGTATTTAAATGTATACATAACATAACACCCGTGTAGTTTTATGGAAGCTCCTTCTTCCTAGTAATCACAAATGGCAGCATTAGTTTTTTAATATCACAGCTGGCCAAATCTCCTATTTTAAGTTTCTCTTGTGCTAATTTAACAATTAGCCTATGTGCAACTTGGCTTGTGGACCCACCAGCTCTAATATGTTCACTGTCAATATTATTTCACCTTTTCAGAACGTTTTGCTCCATATCCTCTCAATGTAAAACAGTTAAAATGTCTTCTCCATGGTAGATGTGTAAACGAAGACACACACACACAAACACACACACACACACACACACACACACACACACACACACACACACACACACACACACACACACACACACACACACACACACACACACACACACACACACACACACACACACTCACACACACACACACACACACACACATTCCCACACACATCACATGAATTGGTTGGGAAGATCTGTAAACAAGTGACAGCAGATTGTGGCAGTCAGGTGAATGGATAGCAGGGTTAACTGCTGTTTAGCCGAAATGCTAGCTCATGAAACCACGACAGACTTCCCAGCCCAGCTGCTGGCTCGTATCCTCTTAGCATTATTCTCACGTCTCCCCCTGCCTAGGCAAGTAGGCACCAGGACTACTGGTGACTGTCATACGACTGTATACTAGTCCCAGTTCTCCTCTGCACGACTCAGGGATGAGCATCCGCTGAACAAATTAGAGAAGCGAAATCAGCCTGAATTCATGTCGCCTAAGCGCTGCCCTTTGCTCTCTAACTTGCTTTTAATAGGTAACTAAACGCACGATTTATTTACTTTTCTGCGTTAAATAAACACACACACACACACACACACACACACACACACACACACACACACACACACACACACACACACACACACACACACACACACACACATTGAGCCCAAATGAAATGGCTGTCAGAAGAACCATAAAAGATATGTTAATTAAAAGCACCATTACTAGCGGCCAACATATCGGATCTGCAAAGGGACATGAATAATGCAACTGATATAGGCTCGGTAATGCTATATTGATAGAAAAAATAAGGTTCCGTTGCGTCAAGGTTGCAACATACAACACAACAAGATCGGAAGAATGCTGGGTTTGCTTTCAAAATAAAAGCGCAATTTTTGTGAAAACCCCATTGCAGTACATGCTCGCCTGGGAATAGCGCCCTAATTTTGAAAGTCTTTGCCTGTCGTTCTTATTCCTTCTTGACGCTACATAAAATATCCCACTGTTCTGTCGTGTAAGCTATCTAGTATAACACTGAATATGACAGCTAGTCTTCACACGGTAATATAAACGTTTCAGACTTCAACACAGAATTGCAAATAATGTCGATTCAAAAGCAAATTCCACATCTGTCCGACCTGTCAAAACGCAGGCACCAACCGTTAGTGCAATGACAGTCAACGGAACCGGTTAGCTTACTGGCAAACATTAGCTAGCTCTGCAGCGAAGACAACTCGTATCGTGAACACGATTATTCATAAGCAGCCTACGGCAAAACGGCACAGAGGTGTACTATAAAGAAGCATTTTATCGCATTTCATCAAATGGTCTCCTTACCCGTCAGAATCCCCACTCGGGTCTGATGGTCGTGGTTGGTGAGCACCATCCCGTCCGCCGCCATGTTTACAACCTCTGTCTGCACTGTGACGGCACGTACATAGAAACAATGTGGTGTGCGGGCTGCTGCACCTCTGGAGGACGACTCTGAGTGTGTATGTGAGTGCGTGTACGTGTGTCTGTGTGTATGTGTACTTGTGTCCTTTAGTGTAAATGTCCTCCAACTAATGAGTGAAAATTTGGGGCCACCCTAAAAAAACGATGATAGAGACTTGAGCCTTTGAACTAGTGTTTTTGAAACAGCCCCAGATAGGAGTTAGGTGTAAAATATAGCTATAACATGTGTCTGGTTAGTCATCAGTCATTGCTCCATTTAGTACCAAATGTAGTCTTAACTTAAGTAGGAAATAATTCTCACAAGGTATGCACATCAGCAAAAGGTCTTCACCATAAAAGATGTTCATTTTCATGACATTTGTCACTTTATGAGGACAGACTAATTGGCATGTTCTCACGCACCAGTGCTGGATTATTAACTGGGCAACACAGGTAAATTGGATCTTTGTGGCATCCTACAACACAATATAAACTGAAGTGATAATCTATTGAAGCGTTATTGATGTCGCCGATTTTGTACAAAAGTGTCTGCCAAATGAGTAAATGTAATTATAAAGCATAGGGGTCTAAAAGTGTCCGAGGGTTATTGCCATTTTGTAATGTCATGTATGGATGGCTCTGTGTTGAAATACAATTTTAATATCTTTAATTTTTCTGTTTGTATTACACTTGTGCATGTCCTTGAATAAATGTGTCTGAAATATAATATCACAGACTAACTGTTAAACCATATTCCAGTAGTATTCCAGCTGGCCTGATGGGAGGAGGGGATGGACAGTAGGAAGCAACTGTGACTCCATGTCAGTTCATTCTGCCATGGCGCACATACCCACACAGATACCTGTGAAAATGTGACAAGAGGTTGTAGTTAGTTGGATGGATGTTTATCACCTCCTTTAATTCTTTTCATTTTGGAAACTTAAGTCCAAAAAATTATTTCTATTTCTATAGAGATGAACCTCCTGAAATATTTAACAGAAGTGTCACAAACGAGGGCCCTGGGGGGCTTTTGCCCTCATAAACCCTAACAGTGAGATCAGGTTGGGGGACAAAGTGATAGTGTTACATGCCTTGGGGTGAGGAACTACAGAATGTGTCATGTGATGGATGTGTGACAGAACATGGTGACTGGCTGTAAATCAGCCTGCTGTTGGCTGTTGTGAACGCTACAGAAAATGATTACCATGTGATGAGGGGGGATTGCTGTACATCTGGAACATCCTGCCCCACCATCGAGCTGGGACACATCCTCCACATGACCTGTGATAAGTCTTTTGACATTTTGACCTGAATGAGAAGAGTTTTAAAAGACCAAAATGACATTTTTCAGCTGTGTTTTTGTTGTGTGTAAATGTATTTGTTTTTTGATCGGTGTATTTGTGTTTATGATGTGTTTGGTTTTGTATTCTAAAAATGAAAATCAATCACATTATTGTAATGAGATGATTTGGCTACTTCTGGCTATATGATGATGAGTCTTTTACTATATTTTCATTCATATATAATGTGTCCTTGTGTGCTGTTACTCAAAAATTGTGATAATAAAAACAAATTTCAAATTTAAAAAATTTAATCTTAATTGACTTAAAGTTTTCAACCATGGATATGACCACAAATAAATCCACTAACCACTAATTTCATGCATCAAAGAAGAGCATTAGTTTTTGCATTCACTAAACCTAGCGCAGTAACAAATTCCATGTCATCCACATATGATAATTTACTGTTGTCTTTATTGAGCTAGTTCTGCATGGGGGCAAAAACGGATTATACTAAGATGACTGTAATAGCCCCTACACAGCCATGGTCCACCCACCGAGGTGTTTTCATTGCTGGATTAGACCCCAGTCTCTTCATTTTGCTGGACATTGGATAGTAATTTTGCAATTTTGCAAGTCAAAGTCCAATTAGGATTGAACTGTGCTCTCTATGCAATTTAGGCATGATCAATTCACATGAAAAATTCAAGCCTCATCCCCCTATACACATAGAAAATGAATTAGGAGTAAATATCTGTGTGAGTGGAAGGCCTAAAAAAATGTTGACCTTTTTCTCTGTGGTTTTAGACGGCATTTCTCATAATTTTATAGAGTAATATATAGGGAGTAATGCACACTATTCTTTACACTTAACCAAAACAAAACCTTATTCATGGTGGCCCCCCATGATTTTTAACGTAACCCTTTTTTCTCTTTTCAGTCAATCAAAACATTGGAGAAGTTTGTACATCAGTGAGTTAGCTAGAATTACTCTAGCTCAGCATGATATTACCTCACAGGGGTCCTGGAAAGGGAAAGAGTTCAAGAAATCAGCATAACACTTCTCCAACCCCCTGATGTTGCATAATCAAAGCTTTTTGTTGAAAAATGTTTTTTTTATCAAGCCAAAGAAATACAAATATATGTAATGCAAAATCTGAATTATGTTGCCTTTGTTTTGTTTTGGTTTCTTTATTATTTAGTTAATTAATTATATATTTATTTTTTTCTTTAATATCTTATTGAAGTTGTCAAGCCTTATTGATATTGTAATGTTATGTGTCTGTGTTCATTATTCGGTTTGTTTAGTGTGACCCAGTGTAATAGTTGTAAATGTTGACATATTTATCCTAAATCTTGATAAATGTTGTGTAATAATTATGTCAGTCTTAAATATTTTAGATTACATTTCAAAAAAATGACCCAGCATACTTTAAATTATGAAACATGCTAATAACATTTGCCTAAATGAGTAAATGTCAATTAGGTTAGCATGAATCACTCTATTGCACAATATAAAAAGAGCATAGTCATATAATTCCCATTCTAAACTGTAGGAATACCACTCTGAGGAACATGTCTCCATGTATGCAGACATAAAGAAAACAAAGTAATTCCTACATTTACAAAATATACATCTTTGGGCCTTTTGGTTATGCTAGTTTGTGATGCTTTAGTGACTTCCTGTTTACATAGTATATTGCGTTTGATTGGACAACGCTGTTTCCTAGCAACCAATTTACATATTGCTGAAGTCATTACCACTTGTCACATTTCTTACATTTACTTTAGTAAATCACTAGTTTGAAACAAGGTAGTACTTACTAGGAACTTAGGAAAAACTTTTTGCTAATTCTATTTGTCATGTCCATACTTGCTGTGACACAGAAAAAATATCTGGACCCTGGATGTCCAGTCCCAAGTTTGCTAAGATATCAGTTGATTACTCATCTTGCAAGGATAGGGTGAGTCCATACCTTACAAGAACTCCCAGCAGGAGTTACTTGATGGCTGTCCATGAGGGGGCAGCATTGTACAACTGTTTGGTTAATGAATGACAGCCATCACCTCCACTGGGCCATCTCGAGTTGCGACAGAGCAGCAAACTCAAGACAAGCACTGGCTATAGTGTTCTTCTGGGCCCTTTGTAGGTCCCTGTGAAGTAACAGGTAAACTGTCACAAATGTTTATTATGGAAATGGTTTCTCCTAACCTTTCTGGAACTAAATTCAATTTAAGGCTCAAAATATAAATATCATCACCTGAATGCTATGGCATTACAGACAAAGGTGACAATATGGTGAAACCAGGACATTGAATAGCAGGATGACAGTCCAACAAACTGTTTGTTTGACCTGACTGTGGCTCCTCCCTGCACTCAGGATTTACAGCAGAGTGTGCAACAGCAACACTGGAATAGCAATGAAGGCAGAACATGCTTCAGCTGCCCTGGTGTCCATTTACATCAAAGGATATGTGACAGGATACTCCGTCCCTATAGGTGCTGATGGTGGAGCCTAGCCAGGAAAACGTTCTGGATAAACAAGTTGAAATCTTGATTATTTTAAGAAGAATTTATCATTTATTTAGAATGAAGCATTTTTTATGCTGAAAGGAAATCAAATATGTGTTTCAGAAGTCATGACATTCAAATACATGGTTTTAGAAGCTTGGTGTCGTAGCGACTACTCAAACTACTGTAGCTGGCAAGCTAACTGCTACACACTAGACAGCCCAGGAAATGCAAGTGTTACTGAGTTACAAGGAGGAGAGTTAATTAGAAGTTGATGGTGCACATCTAATAAGCTGCGATAGCTTCCTCCATTTTTGACTCTATGGCTCTCTGCTGCCTCAAAGGTCAGCACTCTCAGGACAGCTTGCTATTGGTCAATGCTACAAATGTGATGTGAAATATTTGGATAGAAGCTACCAATTAGCTAGCAACATATGGTGCCTGTGGAGTGTGTTTGCGTTTTCAAACCGGTCTCAGAAAACACGAGGAACTCCACTTCTTTCTGTTATTTTCCTTCAATCTCTCTACTTTTCCCCCTCATGTCTGTACTTTATGAAGTTATAAAGCCCTGGGATAAGTGTGAATTGTCTGAACACACCTTAAAGCTGGCCTATTCAACTGGTCGCCTGCGGGCCAACTCCAGCCCATCAATCAAGTCTGACCGGCATGCCGATCAATTGTTTAATTGCAATACATTTTTGCTACAATAAATCTTCTAAACCACAGGCTCTAATATTGCAGCAGCCTTCTTGGTAAACAGTTTCACCAGTCCCAGGCAGTAACAACAGTGTCTGTTCCAAACTTTCAACTATAATTTTTGGCATCAAATTCACAGACAAGTTCAGTTCATCCTGAACTTTTTCACTGTTCTTGCTCTCTTCTGTTGTTTGCCTCTTTTTAAAAAAATGCTGTGACGCAAGAGATGTCAGAATTAGCCAAATGATTTGCCAGACAGCTGACGTGATGTGTTGTAGAAAACTATGTGTTTACTTTTATTAATATGACAGCTTGTGTTGCACAGAAAATCAAATGAACCACTTGGCCTGATTACTTGAAGGAGGCCTTTTTGTTTTTTTCCTTAGGTAATGATTAGGCTACTTTTACAATTTGGTAAAATTATAGTTTTGCAAATGTGGTGTCATGTTGTGTCAGGTGTACATACAGAATGAGAACAGCTCAGGGAAATGTCTGCCCC